GAATTTAATTTCGCGAGAAACCTCGTCGTACCGTTCGGTCCACGCGAGCATAGATTTTCATTGACACGTAGCGGGATCGTTTGGATCGCGATGAATGTGGAGAATCGCGAGATTGAATTACACGGGATCGTAGAATTATATATACGTATAAGCTCGCGAGGACTATCGCGTGAAATATACGCGAAGGAGGAAAATCTATCTTCGACTCGACGAAGAATATCGCCGGTACGCGGACTATCGCTTATAAAGCTGATAACAGTATCAGGGGAGGGAAAAATATTTTTTTTTTTTATAATACAATGATAACCAGCTATTATCGTTAATCCGCGGTTAATTTAGTGCAGAGATTTTTCCAGGGTACGTCGTTATCGCTGAAATAACATGCGATCTCTCGATAAAGGATTTCATCGTTATATCCTCTAAATGAAAGAAGATTGTAAATAATATAATGAAATGCGAATGTCTCTACAATCAGAGACAAATGGAGATATATCTGACATTTCTAATCGATTTAATAGGTATCGCATAATAAATCAATCTGTCGAAATTAAAAATTGCATTTTAAGAGTGTCATTATATCCGACATACTATATAAAAATTACAACACAATAACAAAAAATTTTTTAAATTATCCTATCGTAATTTCAAAGACGATAACATATATTATTTGTGTCACGCATAAACCTTGAAAATCGTTCAATACATTAAAATTTTTGATTTTTCAGACAAGTATCGTGACATTTTACAATTATTTATACGAAAAAAGAGATGAAATTTCATCGAATAGTAAATTTAATAGCGCTGGAGATGTAGATCGAAAGATTCCGCTCGAACTGAACCAGCTATCAATTTCTCTCGCGATCGATGCACGCGCCTATATATGCAACTATGCAGCCTCGATCATCGAGACTGCGATTCACGCGTGTATATGTATGCGTATATACTTTATCAAATTTAAGCAGTGTTCACACGCGAGGTTAAGTACAATGACATTGACATGTATTCCGGCAGTTTCTGTCGGTCAACGAGTTACAATGCGAATAAAAATCGTCGTAAAATATTTGCGATATCTTTAAAAAAAAAGAAAAACAATCAGTTTATAGCGACGAGAGTATTTCTACTCGCTCGCGGAAAGTTATGCGAACGCGTTAAGGCGCGTTCACACGGAACAATGTCGCGCGATTTCGTTCACATAAAAGATGCCTTGGAAATCGCACACTTTCTCTCTACGACAGGTATTAAAAACAATGATGCATTCTAGTACCGAAGCATCAATTTTCTTGCTCTTTAATATTATAAAAGTGAGGAATTAAATTCGATTTTTGCGAATTAAAAAATTTGAGAAACGTAAATAAACGTCTTATCGTTCAAGTTTTATTTTCTCTTCGAATTGCAATTTAAATCTTAAAATCATATAGTATTATTTCGGAATAGATTAGTTCTAATATGCATATATACACAATTTCCCCTTTAAAAAATAATGTTTTATTGATGTTTATATTTTCCCGCTCGTTTTCGTGTTTACGCTGAAAACAAAATTCGTAACTCGAACATATATTAGTATTTAAGTCAAATAAATAAATAAATAAATATATATATATATATATACGTTACGTTATATTTAATTTAAATATTTTTATACGTTCAATTAACAAAATAATATTTAAAAACTCCATATTCATCTCGACTAAGAGCCAAACGCGATGTTATTGCGACAAATTAAGATAAGAAATTTTTGGAAACTGAGGAATTTGAATCCTATGGTTGGGATCTCAGAAATTCCCCTTGTTCCTTCTCTAAACATCCCCTGTAAGAAAAAGACGAGAAAAATATTGGTCCGAAAGTCGGCTGAAATATAATATTTAAAAATAATATTTAATTGAAAGGTTCAGTCGCGTTAAATTTATTATTTTTTAAGCGTACAAGGCTATAAAATAATCATCAAATGTGTTTCCTTCAGCGCTCCAAGTTGTAAAAAGAAATTTCAATGTGACATATTTATACTGTCTGACAAGAAAAACGCCGAATAAAAAAAAAAGTTGGACAAAGCAAAAAAAACGCCGCGTCTCCGTATATCTGCCGTAGAATGTACAGAGAAAGCGCGCGCGCGCGCGCGCGATACACCCTATATACATACATTCCCGCCGAATCGCGTATCTTCGCGAGATCGCGGTCTCGTGCGCGCGGGAGAAAGAGGGAGGGAGGGAAATCGTGACAGGGAGGGGGAGGGGGACGCTCACGCGCACATTCGCACGCGAAATTTTTCGCTCGCGCGAAGATGCTCGAAAGAGAAGAGGAACGAACGTTCTTTCACGTACCTGTCCCGGGGATCGATCCACGTAGTCTTCTTGGTGTTGTGATCGATGAAGTAGACCTTCCCATCGAAGTCCTGGGCGACGTCCCATCCTTCCGGAAGCGGTATCTCCCCATTCCGTCTCCTTGGCATATTTCACTGCGCTCTAAATCCATCCAAAAGCTCTCTCTCTAACGCCGTGCGATCGACGGGCGCATTTCTGTGGCGCGCGCGCGCGCGCGCGCTCTCTCTCGCTCAAAACGTACGAATAAGAGAGAGAACGAGATATACACAGGTGGAAGGGGAAGAGAGCGAGCAGCGGAGCGGCGAGGACGGGATGAAACGTTATTGCGCACACACACACACACATGAAGCGCAACGCGACCGGGAGGTCTATGTGTGTGCGCGCCAAACTCTCTTGTTCTCTTTCTCTCTCTCTTCTTCTTCTTCTCTTTCTCTGATTCTCGCGCTGAACTACTCCGCCATCATGAATACCTCATTATCATGAGCAGTGACGTCAGAGTCCCCGCCTCAGATTCCTCTCGAGCGGAATTCCACCGTTAACATAGCCGGCCGTCGAGGTGCAGGCCCGAGCGACGGCGACGGTGACAGTGTCGTCGTGTCGTGTCGTTCTTGCGTTCGCACGGGTGCATCGATCGGATGCACTTGGCGTATCATCGCCGCACCACCTTCCCAAGGTGGCCTCTTCCTCCTTTTCTTGTTTTTTTTTCTTCCTCCACACTCGCGGCACACTTCACTCGTATCTACTTCGCGCGACTCTCACCACCAGAAAAATAATAATAATAATAATAATAAAGGAAAACAAACTAAAACACCCACTCTTTCATTCTTAGATCTTCCTTCTCGCCGCGTTCTCGATCCACGTCGTCGTCGTCGGCACCAACTTTCACCCTCCGAACCAAATATATTCTATCGTATCCCTCTATCGGAGTGTCACCTCAAGGTTTCCCCACCGGGGAGACTAGTTTCACTAATCGTCCCGCAATAATATATAAACACTTGAGAATCGCGCGCGATTCTACCTGACGTTTGCCGCGTTCTCCAATATATCTACCTGAAGTTTGCCGCGTTCTCCAATATCTACCTGAAGCTTGCCGCGCTCCCCGATATCTACCTGAAGCTTGCCGCGGACGCTACAGCGACGACGTCGTCGTCGTCGTCGTCGTCGTCGTCGTCGTCCTTGTCCTCTTCCTCGTCTTCGTGGCGGAACGACCCGCGACCCGTTTCGAGCGACGCGCGCTATCGCCGGCTTCGTGCAGCGGCGGAGCACGTTTCACCGTGTTCCCTTTTCCTCGTTGCATTAGCCGCGACTGTAATGCTAATGTCGAGCAGCGGATCTTGCGCGTTTTTCGCACGCAGGAATGTGGGAACCCGACGCCCTCTCTCGGCGCGCACGAGAGAACGATCTACCGTTTTTTCTCTTCTCTCTCTCTCTCTGTTTCTTTTTTATTTTCGTATCAAACTCCCGTTGCGGTTTAATTTTCGCACACTTTCTCGCTCGAGAGACAGAATAATCGCACACCTTCGCGGAAGAGGAGGACAACCAGAGTTCGTCGTCGGCGTTTCACGCGCGAATATAACAGAATATATATATACATATATATATATATATATATATATATGTATATGTAACACACCAGGGTATATTTTGATTCACGAGAAATAAATAATACGCGACGGACGGATTTTCTCGTTTCCGATACGATACTACCACCTCACGTCAGCTTCGAACATGCCGAGTGTTTGAGACATGCCACTGAACGTTCATGCCGTGCGCGAGTCTGGCATTACCTCTTGCTCTCTCTCTCTCTCTCTCTCTCCCGCTCGCGCTCTATCTCTTCTCGTCGTCTACCCCTCCGCTCCGACCCTCCCTTGCGTCATCCCGTGCACCGCAAGAACATCGCTGTCTCCCTCCCCGATTCTGAATCACGTTCCGTCTCGGTCTCGCTCTCGACGTTCGTCTCTGTCGCTCACTCGCGCGTCGCCCTCTCCTTGTTCCACTCACCTCCACCACGCTCGGTCCTCACGTTCTTCTCTCTCTCTCTCTTTCTCTCTTCCACCGTCGTGTGTCTCTGACCGCCGGCGCACGAAAGGCAGCGGGAATAGACGAACGAGTTGCCCTTTCGCCGGTTTCGCATTTTTCCCGCTACGCCGCTCGAATGGCGCCACTAGACGACTGTGGGCGCAGGTGCACCTCGGGATCGTTTTTTCGAGTACGAATATGCAGCGGATGTTTTTTTCTTGACAGATTGTCAAATCCTGGAAGAGAAATTGAAGAACATTTTTAACGCAACACTTTTCTCGAAACCTGGCAAATTTTGTCTGCATCCTATGATTATTAAATTGCATCGACCGTTTCACTTCGATATTAATTGATATTTAAGATTATACATTATAATTGTAAATTTATTTAGACGCGCAAGTCCGTAGGATTTTTTCCAGGAGGGAGCATAATTAATTTTTGTGTTGTTTTTTTCATTTTTTTAATACGCAAATAAATGCCAGTGTTTATTCAATGCAGGGAGAACAAATGCCCCCTCAAATACCCTCCTCCGTATATATGCAACGAAACATTAACTGAATAAAAAAAGTGCAGAGATATTAAAACTGTTTTCTCTCCCTTTTACCTCGAGCAGAAAAAATACATTAGAACGGCATACGATCCATTTGTTTCAGTTACACTTTGCTTTTTTCCTCTTTTTCAACCTTCAAGCTGCATATACGAGACAATCTCGTAAATATACGCGTAAAGTGCAGCTGCAAAGGACGGAGCCACACTTGAACGCAGCCCTGAACCAATCCCGTCGCATGCGCAATAATCTCCGCTAATGCCACGAAGGCGTATATACGAATTTGACGTGCCAGACATGCCTCTTCGATGACTTTTTCATCCACGTGACCGCAATGTTTGGCACGTAATACATACAACATACACATCCCTTTATATATATGTATATATGATATATACACATGTATAAATAAACTGGAACATATGTTAATATAAGTGCTTGCTCCTTGCTGCTGAACAAGGTTTAATCTTTTGGCTTGCGAGATCGAGGTATCGACATAGAATTTATTCTAATCTTGGATGTAAAACCGTGCATCGTTTTTAAAGGTATATATAGACTTTAAAACGAGAGATGGCAACGTCCGATAGCGACACCGACTTTGAGAGTGCTGACGAGGAGTTGAGTCGCGGTGGGCCTCCTAAGAGAGACCTTCGAACGACCTATTGGACCTCGTCGACGGTTGACTCCGAATCGGATGACGATACCGAATTCGTCCAGCACGCGCCTTACAAAAGTTCAAATTGGCGAAGAAGACCCAAGACTTTCCGGAAGATCGCGACACCGATTGGAGTAACAGGTCAAGAGACGTCGGTCGATGATAAGAGTGATAACATTGACATTGGTGTCAAAGTTGAAAGCGATGCACGTATTGCCGAGTCAGTAGAATCTTCTAATAACCAAGAGGACACATCTCCCATTGCAACAAGGGGATCACCATTATCAACTTCTGGGATATCGGTACAAGATACTGAATCTATGGCAGAAAGCAGTACAGTTACAAAATCAGATGATGCCATGCCTAAAGTAGAAGTGACAAAGGCTGAGAAAGCCTCTGAAAGAACACAACAACGAAACATGTCTCATCGATTGGGTACAAAGAAATTGGCAACTAAAATTACAAAGGACAGCGACAATAAAAGTACAGACAATCAATGTTTATCCGAGTGTTTGAATGAAAGATCGCAATTTAGCAAAGATACAGATTGTGAATTGCAAAAGGATAAAAATCAACTGGAAGATGATCAGTCTAAATCAACAGGTATAAATGATTTATCAGAAATGGACATGCCGGAGGAATTAAAGTCAAATAAAAAATTTAAAGAAGTTTTTCAGCCTGAAGGTTGGGAAGGACTTAGCAATGATATTGAATTGCCCGACGAATTGACGGAAGAGAAATTAGAGCCTGTATTAGAGAGATTGTCCTTGACGAGCAAAGAATCGGACAGTTCTTTAGGAAATTGGAGTAGTTGGGGAAATTGGGGCGTAACTTCGTTACTTAATACAGCTACGGCAAGTGTTTCTACTCTGACTACTCATGTGTCTCAAGGACTTACACTTTTGGAAGGTACAATAGGAATGCAGGACTCCAAAGAATCAACAGAGATAAAGCAGGATGAAACTACTGCACTCGATGGTACAGTATCTAGGATAAACAATCCTTGTTGTACCCTGTTGTACAATATTTTGTTTTTCCATATTTTATATATATATATATATATATAATTGTGTGTAATATTTTTTATTTATATATAGCACACATTTAATTTTTTATCAGGTATAACTCAATTACGTATGTCAAGATAAGTTGAGAAATGGTGAAGATATAATTGATAGATAGTAATGTATGAGTCATTTCAACTAAAATTTGTCAATTTTCTATTAATAGGTGTGGAATTTCAAGAGAAGGAAAATCAATCATATAGTGCATTTGGATTTGGAAATTTAATATCAGGAGTATCTTCAATTACAAAATTGGTTGAATCTACTGGTAGCAAAGTTATGACAGGTGGTTTAGATACATTGGAAGCTATCGGGAAGAAAACGATGGAAGTATTGCAAGAGGGTGATCCTGGATTAAAAAAGAAAAGAGCCTTCTTCATGAACGAACCCGAGAAGCCAAATTTATCGCAAGTTCTTAGAGAAGCAAAGGAAAAAGCCGAAACTGAGCAAAAAACAATCGAAGAACGCCAATTGGCGAGAAAAGTGCATTTCGAGAGTCTTTTCGACGATTATCAAGGACTCGTTCACTTGGAAGCTCTAGAAATATTATCAAAACAAAGCAATATGAAAATTCAGCAATATTTAATCGAATTGGACGCGAATGAATTGACTTCTGTGCAAGAAACATTAGAAGAGATCAAACAACTTTGTAATTTGAATGACGCAGATGATGAAGATGATAAAGATAATAAAGACTTGAAAGACAGATTAGAGGACGCCTGTCACGATCTTAGTGTCGATATTACTTACGAAAAGTTATATAATGTAAGAAATTTAATTAGTAGTAGCAGCAATAATCAATTTTATTTATTATCACGTACTCGAATAACGAATATTTGCAGGTTTGGACAGAAACGAAAAATTATCTCGCATCAACGCATACGGACCAGGAAATCTTTCAGAATGCTATATCGGCTCTGGCACAGTTTACAGCGTTTTCCATAGAAAGATTTCATAAAACGGCAGAATTACTGTTAATCAAGGAACGACGCAGTACCGTCAACGAAGCCGACGCCTTGGTGCAACTCACCAATATTCTGTCTGATCAGATTAGCGTATTAGCCAATTTATTCTACGATGCATTACAGAAATGTACTGAGACTATGGAAAAACCGAACAATATTGAAGCAAATTTGGAAAAGATTTCGTCAGAAGTAAGTTTTCTATTGAATAATTCGAGCAGACTATACACACACACACACACACACACACACACACATATATATATACAATGATTATAATACTGATAATTTATTTTTTATACAGGCATGTAACGCAAATTCATATCTTCAAGATGCCTTTAAACTCCTCATCCCTATTCTACAAGTTGGTGCAATTTGATAAAATGTAATAAAAATATAATGACATTTTTTATACTTTAAATTTAGACGTGTAAATGTATACATAGTTTTCAATTGTAAGTATAGACTATATAGCAACTTCACTTCACAAATATTTTCTATTTTATCTTTTCTATTTATATTCAAAAGAGGGACCAACTTATTAGAGTTTAATGTATTTACATGTATGTTTATTATATATATATGTGCTGTTATTAATCTTTATATTTTGTCATAGTTGAACACAAAATGATATGCATATACAATCATATATACATAATCATAAATAAACAAGAATATTAGTATAATAGATATAAAAGAGTTGATCAAATAATAATAGAAAATTATTTCAATATATGTACTCTCCCCTTAGAACATTACTTCTCTTGAAATTAACTTGAATTAAACTTTAGATATTTAGTAAGATGAAAGTATGTAAGTAAGAAAATGTTGATACAAGACATAGAATATTTATAACGTAAGGTATAAATTTAAAGCATGTTACAAATTACATTTTAATATACAAATATTGAAAAAAAATACAACTGTAACAATGACACATTGACGATACAGCATATGCTTTAATATCATCAATGATAAAAAAAGACTTTACATATATTGATCTTCAAATGTAAAAAATTACATAGGATAGAAAAATTACCATGTCTGAAAGAGAAGCGATCAATGTTTCCCTCTTTTATTACCAACGGGGGGCTTTTGTAGTTGAAAATTCGAGCTGCTTCCGTTTACTGGCAATGGTGCAGTCAAATTAATCGGCGCGTTAAAATTTAAGCTTGTAGTTGGTGGTTTCATTGACGAGCCTATAGCAATGTTAGTAGCAGACGATACCGGTGTCGAACTTTCCCAAACTGTAACAATATATTTATATCATTATTCTTTACTCATTTATCGCTATGGCGCTAAAACATGTAGAACAGCTGAAGCTATGGAATATTTTCTACACTTTATTAAAGATAATAAATGTTTATATTTTTGATAAAATCTATTTCAAGAGAGACAAACATATTATAGAGCCAATTTCGTCCTTTTATTATTTGTTAGAGATGTAATTGATAGCCCATATTCTTTTAATATTAATTAATATCAATCTGTTAGTACATTTAAAATTCATGTATTTAATTTCACAGATTTTCGAGAAAACACTCCCAACTTTTCATCCCAAACTCGAGTTGCAGATATGTACATACTTTCAACATCTTTACGTACATTCTACAGAACTTATTTCAATCAGTGATAAATTTAATGATATATATATTTCTTGATTAATATCTATATTTCGCAAGCATTTTACTATGTAATATGTATTAATAAAGCTATAAAAGCAGTCAAAGCACATACATATAAAGGCGCTATCATCTGTGTTAAGAAAGATAAATCTTTCAAGATAGCATCTAAATGCAAAGTATATAAAAGTATTAAAAAGATTAATAATCATCGCGATATAATCATCTATATAAAAGTTAACTGGTTATTCTATGTAAGAGATTTATTTATAGGCAAAGAAAAGCATATTACCCCTTTCCCGTAATTGACAATAACAAGGAAAAATTTGAAATAAAAATTTAATACCTCAACAATTATATTATATAGCCTCTACTTTTTTCCTGAAAAGGCAAAATAAAAGTCAAATCATACAAGTGAGAAAAACTTAAAGTCGATTCGTCGAATGAGAAAAAGAAAGGAAAGAAAAATAAATAAAAAAAATTGTAAACACTTGTTAATTCTATTTATTAGTAAACGGCGTTAAATGTTAGTAAATTCTACCTCATAACTAGATCCACGCAAGACCTGAAGGTAGCAAATCTTTAGGAGGGAAGGGGGGCGATTAAAATTATTTCTTACAAGAGATCTCTTATTCGTAGCTCGAGGATATAGAATTACAAGAGAATCAACAACAAGACCTATTTACCTAAAGGATTTCGTGTTTCATAACTCGCCGGCCGGTTCGAGTTTAATGTCGTTGACGACAAAAAGCTTTTATTCCCTGTAAGCATTAACCTCGTTTTTCAAGACTTACAATGTTTCAATTATTTCGAAATGCTCATAAAATATTATTACCTGGTCCGAAGGGTGTGGGACCACTTGTGATCCTTCCGATGCTGCTACAACTAGATTTACCGTCTGTCTTGATACTATCAAAAACATTGGTGTTATCCTTCAATACATATTTTCTGAAATTAAGATACTGTTCTTTTTGCTGCTGCACCTTGGCATGCACGCTTTGCAATCGGCCAGCAACCGCGACTAGAGACTCGTGAAGTTTATTCATGGCCATTGTCAATTCTAATGATAAAAAATATGAATAAGTGCATGTGATTAAGACTTCTGGCTCTTTGCCAATCATGTAGAGATTGTGACGTCAGAGGTAAAAAAAAAAAACACATTAAAATTTCTTACATACCATTTTAAAATAAAGATATTTCAAAAAGTATTTTAAAAGTCTGCTAAAGTCATCTAAAATCATTTTTTATTAAAAATGGCATCTAAGAATTTTCAGCGTGTTCTTTCTCGCCTCTGACGTCACAATCTAACATGGCCACGGCGAAGATCCGGGAGCCTTAAGAGTAAATAATATTCTAATTTCTACTCATGAATCTATTTAATGAAAGAATCAAGAGACATACCCTGTGGGGTTAATGTTCTCGGCGCCATCATAGCCTGTATATGCTTTTCCGTTGTCTCAATTTGTGATCTAAATAACATCAAATCGTGCTCAAAGCTTTCAGCTAATTCCATGAAAAAATGAAGAGGCGCATTATTTTCATATTGCAAGCCTGGTGGAGTGTCGTGAGTTCTTTGAGCTATTTCAGAGCTTTGCAACGCCTTTGCCGTATCTTGTTTCAGTTTATCAGCCGAAGAGCGGTCCCGTTGCACCGAACCGGATAAAGTAGACAAAATTTCCATTAGGGATGCTGTATCTTCCGCGCATCGAGTTAACGGTCTCGCCGAACCTCTTGCGATATCTGAAGATAGGCCCTTCTGTATTTTGACAAACTCCCTATAAAAATATCAATATCTCAGTATTGCATAAATATATATTTTATGTAGCAATAAAGATAATTACTTGAATTTAGCTATCGTTTCCATTAACTCGTTTGGCAATAGATTTTCTTTGGCAGCTGTCGAACTACTATTTCCTTGAGAAAGACCTTTATTATTAACCGAGACGTCTAAGCCACCAAGTCCTTTATTTGTATTAATTGTAGTAGTGGCAGCGATTGTCGATTTAGCGCCTAATAAAGTACTTCCACTACCGGTCCCGAATAAAGAAGCTACACATAAATGACAATATTAAATTTGATTACTTTAAGGCAAACAATATAAGAGATAACAGTATGTACGTACTATTGGTGGTAGCTGTACCAAAAGTTAAACTTCCCGTTGCAGTTGTATTAGATGTTGCGCCAAACGTTAGAGTATTCGTTGTAGCTGGTGTGCTAAAATTAAGACCCGTAAATAAAGGTGCAGATGTGGTAGGAGCAGGAAATAAACTGGGTGCAGTGGTCGTTGTAGTAACCACATTGGTGCTTAGAATTAAACCGCTGCATTGTGCTTGTGTGGAGGTTGTTGTGGTACCAAATCCGAAATTAAGACCTATCGTCGTCGTTGGAGCAGACAGAGCACCAAACGTTAACGTGTTGGACGTTGCGGTTGTGGTTGCTCCGAACGATGTATTGGTCAAGCCGAAGCCTGTTGCTGGTCTGGAAAACAAAAACAATCGTGTGAATTAATCAAGCGCTTGATCTTTTCTTCTTTGTAGAAAATAATTTTATATCTAAATATTTAATATTTAATTGGTGAGCAAGAAAATATATACTTTATCTTCATTGAATTATTGAAGTTACAATTATATTTTTAATGCCTTTTGAAGGTTATATTTACTTTTGAGCCCCAAATCCAAAATTTGGGCTATTAGAGGTGACCGCTGGAGTTCCAAACGAAAATGCCATATTGTTTATAACAACTGTTTATATCACGTACAATAAATAATTTATTTACAATATAAATACGCGCCAAAATTGTAATCTTCCTTTTTTATATTAGTTGACATGCGCCATGGAACATGTACTGCGTCATAGACGAGAAACTCTCATGATAAAATTTACATCGCATCCAATATTTTTATATCCAATAAGAGATGGTACTTTCTAGAGATTTTAGCATAAACTAAACAAGGCCATATATATATCGATATCAGATGCGATTCAAATTCAAAATTTAAATTCAATTTTCTTTTTATTTTTTGACATTATATATAATATTATTAATATTTAATTATGTGCATATATTTTATTTTTTGGATCAGGAACGAGCCTGAATCAAAGATATTAAGTCACGTATTTTGCACTAGAAATATTAATTGTCATTTTTTTGTAATTACAAATTGAATATATTTTAGAAAACTGGAATATATTTGTAAAAAAGCATGAATATTAATGCAATTTATTCTGAAAACATTTGTATATCCAGAAGATGAAGAGGTTGATTATTATCATACAAGATGATATAATACTGAAAAGTATACATTCTATTGAAATATTAATGTTTTTATTTGTACATATATATGCTATATTTTGTAACATCATCCGCAAATCAATTCAACTGTTTGATTCCGAACCAGGTCAGTATATTGGTCAATATTAGCAAGAGAGTTACTGTTGTATAGTTTGTGGAAGTATAAACACCAACACTCAGGCACCATCAATAAGTTATTATCAATACATATAATCAGTACCTGTTAATGCTAACAGGATAAACTAGTATTTATCACATAAGTAAAAAATAGATATGGATAAAAAAGCTAATTATATTTCTATTAGTAGTTTCTATATATAACTATATAGAAACTATTTGTATAATTATATATTGTACAGATATTTTTACAATAGAAGTCATGATAATATAGTATTTTCAGCCTCTGCTTAATAATATCACCATATCTATCTCCTAGTATATCTTATAAGTTATTAACTCTATCAGGTATCAGGAATGGATAATATTTATAACATATACTTTCTCGTATAAATATTATGTGACAGTAAAAACAATTTTTTTAAAATAATTATTTAAATTAAAAATTTTTAAATATCGTTATCATTAACTTGGTCTCACCATAAAAATAATTAAACATTCCTGATAAAATGTGGGGTCTTCGTGAGTTATCACAATGTACAATCATTCCTTGATTCAACTTTCTTTTTGTATTGTAAAAAAAGGAAACAAAAGTACTTATGAGCAATGTTACATGGACAATGTTATATGTACAATTATAAAAAATAAGAAAGTCTTATAGATGATACAACATGCGTGGAAAATGCACGTCGAACCTTAGCTTATTTTATACACTATGATCTGTCTTTGGAGGCTTTCTTCTTAATGAATAAATTATTATATATATAACTTCTATAACATAGAAGTTTTTAAACCTCATTATATATAATTAACTATATTATATTATATACTTAACTATATATTATAAATATTATTTAATCTCTCTCGGTATCTTATAATATATATAATCATATCGCAAAAATAAATATCAGAATTAATATTACATTCTCGCTCAATATTATTTTAATGTATAAACAGATTTGTCAAATAAACAGTCAGTATTTTTAAAAGACAAATATATAGTATAGAGAATTACTTTTCTTGAATTCACGTATCTTGATATTTTTCGAATGGTAAAAATGTAATCTGTTTGAACAAATTGTTTTCCATATCACATTTTCTTTATACATATATATAAATAATATATATAAATTATAAAAAATCACAATCAAACAAGAAATCAGTGAAAAGAATCTCTTGCACCACATATTTATCTTAAAGATACAACACAGAAATAAAAAAGAAAAAAACTGGTTCGACGTTAGCGTTCTTTCTTTGTGCTGTTTAAACTGCCGTTTATGTTGCGTTGCGTTTTTCGGAGATAAATCCAAGATCGTACGTATTGCCAAATATTCTTTCCTGTGCCTACTAAATTGCAAACTATCAAGGACGGCGATTCGTATTCATTAGGAACAATACCATCAACGGACGCTTCAAAAAAGCTAAATAATGGAAACCAAATTCTGGTTCTAATCGAATCGCGCTGCATCAATGCTTGATTATTTGCTAAAGTATGATAATAAAGGAATAATCGCGAAGTTATATAAAACGCTACGAAAACGTCAATGGAGTAATGCTCATGCGCCGCCAAGATAAAGAAAATACCAAACATGTTGAGCATCCATGTGAAAGTATGCAAAAAATACAAGTGTCTCGGAGTATCTGTAATAACAAGATAAATAAATAAATAAAACATGTCACAATATACAAGTATTTATAAATCACAGCTTTTTCTTGTTGAAAAAAAAAATAAAATAAAATGACAAATATCATTACTTACATTCTGTAATGAAAAAATTCAGCATAGTTAATGCCACTGTATGTCCACTAAACATGTAATCTCCACAAGTTCTTACACCTTGAATAGACATACCAGCACCTCGCCAAATAACATAAGCCATTGCTATTTTATTATATAGCTCGACATATGCAGAACTAAACAGATATACACTTGTATTTAAAAAATAGGTATATATTGTATATTACAATGTGCTTTATTCTTTTTCTCTCACCTTGACCAATCTTCATCCGGAACTTTGCGCGGTTGACACTGTAGATGCGCACCCGGTACGGATAACGAAGTAATGAGCATTGTTACGCATCTCAGCAGGAAGACTGTACCCGACAGTGCAAAAAACCGCCGTAATAAAATAAATCTGTCAAGAACTTAATAAATTAGTCACACTAATAAATTATATTAATATTTGCATAATTTTAAATAGACTTATAATTTTCTTTACCTATACTTGTGAAATATAAGCACAACAAGCCATATCGCAAAAAGCAGAGTTCCAGTGACTTCGCACATATCAAATGCCCAGGGGATATGAGGTACGTTGTCTAAAAATATGTCTGGCAATGGAGGATACTTCTTCATATCAGGCACTCTGTCGTGGACAATAACCATCACAAAGGCAGTAATCCATGTGACGATAAACAAATATCCCAAACTAATGATTGTTTTCCAAATTTCAGGTGGTAAATGAGAAGCATGTCCGTCCTCCGATACAGAAGCCGAATAAAACTCTTGCTCTATGGATACCTCATTTGTACCAGTGCTGGGTATCTAAAGCAAGATTATTTCAAATATAGCATTTTATTCACGTTTCTGTCAAAAGAAATTAATTTGAAACGAATATTCTCTTTACTTCATGTTTATTCTGTTGAGTATAAAAGTTTGGCGAAGGAAACAAATCCACATATCCCAGGTCAAATAAAGCAGCGATGTTATCCCTTTGCAATTGCTTTATAGCAAGGTATAATTTTTTTATAGCACCAATCTTCTTTATATTCAAAACGTTTGATTTCAAGTCATCTTCTTTCAATGTCAGCAGTACTTTTCCATCGATCTCGTGAGAATAAAATAAATCTGCATACTCCTCGTAACCATTTTCTATGAGCCATATCTTTACATCGGAGCATGTCCATTCGACGACGTTTCTCAACGTCATGTTCATGTTGTTGAAGTGTATTTATCCTGCATAAAAGTCAAGATTATAAATATATATTATAAATATATATTATTACAAAGATTATAAATATACATATACATTGCAAATCAAAATTATATCTTATTATAGCAAGTAGGTGACTGCGATGTAAGCAATCCTGTCAAATTAATAAATTTTGAAACAGAGAAATATGTAGTAAGTAAAATAAGAAAAACACCAGCAGAACTGTCACCGAAATTCAAGCACTGTCACAAAATAATATCGGAATTAGATTTTCGAAGCTGCACCTAGGCAGAGAGCGCACCTTAACCTGCGGGAATAAGGTTAAATACCTTACCTGAGGAAAGTCTGCGCGCCAGAATCGTCGATGATATCTTATCAGAACATTTTCGTGCGTTTAACGTGCGTGTCACCATGCCACCACGATTATTTTCTATCAAGTAAAGTAAGTCATACGTATGGCAGTATTTGCGTTAACACGCACAACGGAGCTATCGATCGCGATGTAGCGCGAATCGAGATCTACTAATTACCGGTACTGTAACCCGCGGCCTCATTTAGTTTAAAGCGCTACGCGAGTGCAACAATGCGAATATAATATTTACGCCGTCGACGTTGTTGTTTGCGCGCGAGGAAAATATTAGAGCGCGACTTTGAACGCGCTCGATACCCCAGGAAGGCCCCTCCGCCTCTGATATTGTTGCCGATGATGCTATATCGCCGTGTGCGAGATCAATGATAACAATAATATTCCTAGAATGACACACGATTCCAAGTAACAAAGCACAGGAAATGATTCACAGAAATAAACATAAATTTTATATATATATATATATATATATATATATAAAAATATATATTTGTCTTTTATACACGATCTCTTTTGTGCGTTTTCTACCGCCTGACAACATTAAATTGCGACGTCGTTATATCATATATGTACAACTTATATATATTATCATAACTCTTTTAAAAAAAATACGATAATTTATTTATAAATTTATTTACATAACGTGATATGTAGAAGAGCGTATATATATAGATAAGAGAAAAAAAATTGTTAACGTACAAAATGCTAATTTATTTTTTATGCGTAATGCGAATAACATCTGCAACAAAATGTGTGCTACAAAGTGCTGGTCTCATAAACAAGTTATATATATATATATATATATATATATATATATATGTGTGGTATGAATAAATAACCGGATGCATATATTTATCTATTGAAATATTTTTCATCTCTCATTCCTTCTCTCGTCCTAGATTGGACAGAACTTCACGCTACACGACACGAGGATCGTCGTTTCCTATCTTTGAGCTGTCTTGTGTGCATGACACGCTCACTCGAGATGTTAAAAAACCGTATTAAAGAAACACCGTTATTTAAAATGGCAGCGACGTCTCTCTGTTGTACGCTATATATATTATATATATACTTTTTCGTTTCTTTTCCCGCGCTTTGCTTTTTTCCCTCTAAAATATTACTTATATTTTTTTTATTTTCAAATTTTTTATTTTAAATAATAGTAAGAGAGAATATGCATTTCCAATTGAACATCCAATAATTTAGCATATGAATCTTTATTTTTCAAAGAACATGAATAGCCCCCTTATATATTTTGAAATCAGTAAAAAAATTTAAGCATTATTTGAATATATAAACTGGAATTGATTTGCATTTATTTAATATAAAAAAGAGAAAATAACCAAAAAATTAAATTTAAAAAATTTAAGAAAAAGAAAAAAATATGTATAATTGTACGCCCCCTGCTGGAAAAATTCTACGAACGTCCATATGTATACGAGAATAAATTAAAAATAATTCGATTCCTACCCATACATCTTATATTATCATTATTCATCTTGAGAACTCGCATTGCTTTTTCTTTTTTTCGTCCGAGGGCGACGGTCCCTTGCACGCGTGTAACCCGATTAATCTCCGTGACAAAACGACGGGGGTCGACGTCATCAAGCGATCAGAGACAGCTCAGGAGCAAAGTTGAACTACAACGCCAGTCGTCGCGCGTACGTCAGAGTCGATAGTGCGTGCGTGCGAGTGTCGAGTGTGTCCGAAGGGTACTCGAGGTGCTGAGTTGGCAGTCTTGACAAGGCAGTTCCCCCGCAAACTGTTGATTTGCATGTACGACATTCGTGTAGCAGCGCGAGCCCGGATAATGTTACGAATGAATGTACTTAAACGGTCTATCACTTAAAATAACGCCGCAGATTACTTAAATGAGCGATGAGCGGACAGAAGTTCCAGTATGACGAGAGCGGAGGGACATTCTTTTACTTTCTGCTCTCCTTCCTGGCGTTACTGTTGGTACCCGGGACCTACTACCTCTGGCCACGTTGCCCGAAGCAAGGTTAGAGTTCGCAAGATGAGTCCCAATTTTTCAGATCGAGTCATTTACGATCCGATGATACGCGATCATACAAGCACGATTCTCGGTCGTACCGATCTTCCTCTACCTTTATTCTCGATTTTTATTCTTTACATTCCTTCGTTTCGCCTCGCTTCGCCTCACTCTCTTCCGGGCCAATGTTATATTCGTCCGATAATCTGATAAAATCAAAATATTTGGTCTATTACTAGTGGAATTCTAGATGTATAATATTCATATCTATATTAGTTCTTATATTCATTGATTTATTTACTACATTACAAGTAATTACATGGCTATTATATTATACCTTTTTAGAAATTTTTATTTATTACACATTTATAAGACCATTATACATTGCATACAATTTATTTGAAAATTCTAGTCAGATGTTGATATTTACTTGTTTGTCCAGTACGCAAAAGTTTAGAAATAATTATTGAGTCTTTGCCTTTGCTTAAATATTTCAAAAATCTATTTCAAGATTTTTTAAATGTATACAACAAAAATTCTATTACAAACTCAATTCTTATTAAGTTATAAGGTTTATTGTAATAATTTTTAAACAATGTTGGCAATTATGTATGTAGAATTGACATGTGCATATTAAGATAGTGTGCAATAAAGACAATACTAGTTAAAAAATTGTATTATATAAAAATCTTTCATTTATTTAAGGAATATTTTAATAAATGCAGAGAGAAATTATGTATTTAATTTTATACATTTTTATAAATCTTTGTGTAATAATTCTACTTAGTTCTATATTTATAATTTAGTCTTATATTAAAAATATCCTTATATTATTCAAACATAGAATTTTTTGTGATTAACATTACTGATTAAATATAATATAACAAATAATATTGAATTATAAAAATTAAAAATATCTGAACAAATTTCTTAATTTTTGTGTGTTAGTAATCTTTCTATTTTTATTCAGATCCTGATCAGGTAGCCAAAGAATGTCAGTGTGATGGGTGCAAAAAGAAAAAAATCATCCTTCAGGCAAATAAACCTTGGAAGGAAACCAAGGCTTTATTTACGTAAGTTTTTATTATTTGTTATATATAAAAAATAATATATAAATCTATAATTTACACATTTATATATAAAAAAATTGTATGCTTGTTATCTTTTTATGCTAATAAAATTATATTATTATTGCAGGAAATTTCTAATCATTCTGGGATGGGCCATCTTGATATTATTAGCATATAAAGTGTCCCAGTTTGATTATGAAATGGCCAATTTTGATCCATATGAGATACTAAATGTACCAGCTGTGAGTATAAAATTTATATAAATTTGCATTTGTGATTTGTTGCATAACAAAAATAAGTACTAAAGTTGCAATTTTAGGGTTCTTCACAAAGTGAAATTAGGAAAGCTTATCGCAAGCTTTCATTAATTCTTCATCCTGATAAAGAAACTGGAAATGAGAAGGCTTTTATGAAATTAACTAAAGGTAAAGAGCAACAAATAGATAGATTGCACAAAACTGAAAAGATACAACATGATTATGTGAAACATTTTACAACCTATTCAATAAATTTATAGCACATTTATTATACACAAATGGTAATACAACATGTGGAATGATCAATGATAAAATTGTGTTAGAATACCTGCACTTGAAATTAATCTTATAACAACTAAAAATTTAGCATCACATTTAGTTCTTGAAAATTATTACACTGGTATCAAATTGCCACTACTAATGCTCTAAATATAAGTTAACTAATTTTTTTTATTAACAAAAATAGCTTACCAAGCTTTAACGGATGATGAAGCACGAAAAAATTGGGAAAAATATGGAAATCCGGATGGTCCAGGGGCAATGAGTTTCGGTATAGCTTTACCTTCCTGGATTGTCGAAAAAGAGAATTCAGTGTGGGTTTTAGGACTGTATGCATTAGTGTTCATGGTTGCTTTACCAACGATTGTAGGAATGTGGTGGTACAAGAGCATTCGCTACACTGGTGATCAAGTAATTGGCTTTATATGCTAGACTAAATTTTTATATGGTAACAAATTGTATACTAGTTATATATATATATTTATATTTCTAGGTTCTTCTGACAACAACCGAGATGTATTACTTTTTCTTCGTGAAAACGCCGTCTATGTCATTGAAAAGAGTTATCATGATTCTTGCGGCGTCTTTTGAATTTTTCAAAAAACGCAATGCAGAAATAATCGAAAGGCATACTGACATCGAAGAAGTTCCTTCGGTAAATTTAGTTGTATTTCAATGTTTTTTTATTATTTTTTAAATGAATACAATACTAATTTATATATATCTTTTTTCATATACTCATTTTAGCTTATCAAACAATTACCTAATTTGGGAGAGAAAAACAAAGAAGTACCACTATGCCATTTGTATTCAATTAAAGCTAGAGCCTTACTACATGCACATTTATCACGTATATCGCTCAATCCTGAGACACTAGATAAAGACAGACAGTATATTGTAAGAAAATGTCCATATTTGATTCAGGAAATGGTTGCCTGTGTCCATCAAGTTATACTTTTAGCTTATGCTAGAAGAGGTAAACATATCCTTTTTTTAATAATAATATGTGTGATTTGTAAAATAAATTTATGGAAACTTTTTTTTATAGTACCACGGGTGCCAACTATAACAACTATAGAAAATTGTATGAAATTGTGTCCAATGATTGTCCAAGGGTTTTGGGAATTTAAAAACCCTCTTCTTCAGTTACCACACATAACTGAGGATAATTTAAAATACTTCCATGCAAAGAAGGTATTACTGAGAAAGAAATTCTATCTATTGATAATGTTTTTATCATTATTAATGAGAGTTACACACACTGATAATGTTCAGAAGTAAATGTGTGACTTTTCTTTAGCGTCAAATCAAAAGTCTTCAACAATTTGCACAATTGAAAGGAGAAGAACGAAGACTGATACTTAGAAATTTGTCAGACAGCCAGTACGAAGATATTATGAAAGTTCTCGGAAATATGCCGTACATAGACTTCAAAGTACGATCTGAAGGTAATTTAATCATTTTTTCTGTTTCTTTTATAAAGTAGTAAATACATTTACAATGACTATAGTAATGTATGTTTTGTATACAGTATTATATTTTTTAATTATATATGTATATTTCACAGTAATTGATGATGAGAATCCTACAGTCTACACTGCTGGTGCTATCGTAACTGTAACAGTATCATTAACGCGGAAAGATATGAAACATCTTTTTGGAGATGATTCCGTCAACGAACAAACGATGATTGATGATACTAAAGCTGGTGGTGAAGCAATCGACGAGGCCTCGGAGGAACAAAACCAATCAACGAAAGCTGCAAAGCCGGCGTGGCTTAAACAGAAGAAAGGTCAAAAGAAATCACATAAAAAAGGTACCAACAAGAAACCCGCTCCTGCTAAAAATGTGCAGGCGCAGTCCCAAACTGTAGCCAATAATACTCAACATAGCAGTACTCCTAATGCGAGAAAAAAGGATGATAAAACGGAAAAAGAGTCTTCCAAGGACAAGCTGTCTGACGTTAGTGACAGCGAAGCCGAAAGCGATAGAAGCGATGACGAGGATAGTCATGACAAGAAGGACGCGTCTCACGACGACGATGATACAGAATGGGAAAAGTAAGGAGAAGAAATATTTTTTTTTTTTTTTTTTTTTTTTTTTAAAGCTAGATCCTTGCCACGATTATGTTGTAATTGTAACGTCAGAAGCGAGAAGCACACGCTGAAAATTCTCAGATGCCATTTTTAAATGAAAAGATATTTTGATGGAATATTGTAGATGGTTTTAGCATACTTTTAAAATATCTCGAAAATTATTCTTTTCTCTTGGTAATCAATTAACAACCGTAAAATGATAGTGACTTTGTCATGCGGAATGACTGCGCAAAGATCAGACAGACTGAGCCTCATTACAGTAATTTTATAGCTGTTGATTGATTATAAAGGGAAAAGGATAATTTTAAGAGTGTGCTAAAGCTATCTGAAATATCTTTTTATTTCGAAATGGCATCTAAAAATTTTTGGGCGTGTGTTTTCTCGCCTTTAACGTCACAGTTTCAACATGATCGACAAAGAACCCGGAGTCTTAATACATTACACTTTGTATATGTACTTCATTTATGAAGTTTGTAAACGCATTCTTTTATCTTTTAAACAGATTCCAACAAAGAATATCCAAGCGAGAAAGAGTATTAGAGGGAAGGAGTAATTTATCGCACGAAGTGCATTGTCCGCTTTTTCCCGATGTTAAGCAGGAGTATTGGTGGGTCTATATCTGTGATCGCAAAAGTCAAACGCTGTTAACAACCCCTATACATGTCACGTCCTTAGCACAATTTGAAGAAGTGCAATTAAGATTCACAGCACCACGCTGGCCAGGCCTGTATACGTTTACCGTATGTTTACGTAGCGATTCGTATTTGGGTTTTGACCAAGCTCAAGATATCAAAGTAAGTAATTTAAAAACACAAGTGATATATGCAAAAAAAGTTTTTTCACAATTTACACAACAACGTATCGCCTTACAGTTGGACGTGAAGGAAGCGCCAGAAATCCCGACCGAGCATCCGCAATGGGACATCTCGGACGAAGAAACCGCAGAGGATGTGGATGCAGCTGATGAACATTCCGAGTTCACGACCGATGAGGACATTAGTGACAATGAATAATATCTGTTTCTCAGATATGTGATTGGAATAGATATTCTAAAAGTCCGCATTTTCCTCTTTTTTTATATTCTCGAAGTTAATGTACAATGGACTTTTATACACAGAATTGCATAATCGTTGATGTATGTGGACAATCTAGGAAAAAATAGTCTGGTGTGTAAGATTTGTCAGTGTGGAGAAAGTAATAGCGAATAAAGAACATAATATTTATTTTAACATTGTTGTTTAATCCTCAATTTGTGTGTGGATGCGTTTATTCCTCAATTAGTATGTACACAGATTTTCTAATAAAATATATATCTTATTGTATACATAAAATATTTACATTAAAATACATTTTTTCTCGTTAAAACATTTTTCTCCTTCATAATCTAGCAATGACAAACAATCTTAAAATCGAGATTGAGAGAAAGTATAGTGAAAAGTGTTATATATATGTATGTATGTATATACACACAAAAGATCACTCAACCGTTGCATTTTTTATTACAGAAGCCACAAACTTAAGCGTTCACTGATTCATTACAAGAACAGTCTAACAGAATATCATTAGCTCAATAGATATATTAACGAGAACGATGAACATATTTCGTAAATCACAAGTGAGTATATACCTCGGATAAATGGATATACGAGGCCGGTCCGATAAATACTTAGCCTACAAAAGAAAAACGAAAATTTTGGAAAAGTGGCGATTTATTTCTCAACATAGTCTCCTTTTAGCTCGATACACTTGACCCAGCGATGCTCCAACTTCTTTAACCCATCTGAAAAATATGTTTTCTCGAGGTCTGCAAAGTAGGCCTCCGTGGCGGCAATGACCTCCTCATTCGACTCAAATTTCTGCCCGGCGAGTGACTTTTTCAAGTTTGGAAACAAAAAAAAGTTGCACGGGGCCAAATCTGGAGAATACGGTGAATGGGGCAGCAGTTCGTATTGCAATTCGACCAATTTGGCCGTGGCGACGGCGGAGGTGTGAGCCGGTGCGTTGTCATGGTCGAAGAGCACTTTTTTCTTCGCCAAATGGGGCCGTTTTTTCTGCAATTCGGCGTCGAATCGGCCCAATAATTCGGCATAGTAAAGCCCTGTGACCGTTTTGCCCTTCTCCAGATAGTCGATGTAGATCACACCTTGTGAATCCCAGAAAACGGTGGCCATCACCTTTCCGGCCGATAAGACAGTCTTCGCCTTCTTCGGAGCACGTTCGCCGGGTGAAGTCCACTGTTTCGACTGTTCCTTGGTCTCTGGTGTGTACCAGTGGATCCATGTTTCGTCGACGGTCACGAAACGACGCAGAAACTCCTTCGGATTGCGCTTAAACAGCGTCAAACACTGCTCTGAAGTGGTCTCACGGTTGCGTTTGTTGTCCGGAGTGAGCAAACGCGGCACCCATAGCGCCGATAGCTTTCTCATGCCCAAAAGTTCATGCAGGATATGACCTACGCGGTCTTTTGAGATGCCTACTGTTTCAGCTATCTCGCGCACCTTCAATCGGCGGTCTGCCAATACGAGATCGTGGATTTTTGTCACGTTATCCTCCGTGGTAGCCCTTTTCGGGGCACCTGGCCGTGGCTCATCAAAAACCGACGTGCGACCACGTTGAAACTCGTTAAACCAATTTTTGACGGTCGCCATCGAAGGAGAAGAGTCACCGTACACAGTATCCAGGCGCTCTTTGATTTCGCTGCGCGATTTCCCTTCCAAAAACAAGAATCGAATCACCGACCGATATTGCTCTTTTTCCATTTTTCTAAAATCCGCGGACACGCCCGCTTCCACACGCGGTCAAAACAAAACTACGAGTCCGATTTGGCTGAAATTTTGACAGTTTAGCCGTCTACGAGAATGTACCACACGATAGAAAAACTCTCTTGCGATACTGGTACCATCGGGCGGTGAGGCTAAGTACTTATCGGACCGCCCTCGTATGTATTAGATATTCACACATTTGATTCTATTAGATTTTATGGCAAATATTTCAGGCATTTAAAATCTACTTCATCCTTTACATTTTTCTAAATATCATGATTGTTGTTGCACTTGAGAAGGGTAAGTTACAGTGAGAAAAATCTAATTTGAGGTAAAATGGAAGTTTATTAATTTATTTAATACAAATTATGTATTCACATTGTGCATTAAACTAAAAATATATGTATAAATTCATTAGTTTATATATATATATATATATATATATATATATATATATATATATATATTTTTCACAGCCACTATTCTTTTTAGTTTGATCTATAATATGTATTATTTGTATTCAAAATAACTATATTTCTTATAATATTCATCTAAGTACATTCTTTCTAAATTATATAATAAGTATATTTTAAAATACTTGTAGCATTTTTTAAAGCTCTTTTTATACAAAACTACTTTATAAAAAAGAGAATTTGTAAATACTACTTAACAAATATATATATTTTTAACAGGTCGAAACAATAGATATCAAATAATAAAATCGGAACAATGGCTAAATAAACCAGTTTACACGTTTGTTAAAACCGATAAACATGCCAACATCAAGTGGGGTGTACGGCATTATGTCCCACGCACATAAGACGAACGGATTTTAATAACTAAATACATTAAAGTTGGAAATTAAAATATGTAGTTTGTTAAACTACTTTACAACTACATGTATAAATTAGAATATACATATGCACGAGTTCTATATTTTTAATCATGGATCCAAATTAACCATTTCGTGACATTTTTTCTGCATTTCAGCTATAAAGTTGTCTAATCTAAAAAATCAGAATCTAAGATAAATTTGTTTCCTGAAGATTAAACTGAATATTATAACTATAGGAAATTTACTTGTAACGTATGGCCAAGTTATTGTATATCACATTGTCTTCTGATTGCAATATCTTATTTAATTCAGTGGTAGACATATCCAAGGATGCGTTGTTATACTGCTGAGGAGGAATGTCCGATTGTGCGATTAACTGATATTCTGTCCAATATAATTTCGTCATGATAGTAACAGAATTGAATATTTTCTCCAGCTTCGATAGTCCATCATTCAATTTATCTATTTGACTATTAAAAATACAGATGCATTTATTATACAAGTAAAAGCTTAAATTGGAGCTTACTTTTTGCACAAATTTTTAATACCTAATAATATCAGCTATATTTTTATTATGAAGTTGCACTTCCCGTGTAGACAAAAATGAAAACACTAATTTTACCATTTTCTGCGGCTTTGTTGTCTTATAAGGACTTTCTTCTTTAAATTCCAGATATAGATCGCACATCTTATCATATCTATATAAAAACATTAATTTAAGAATATCAAAATATGAGACCAAATAATATTCATTACTTACAATTCTGATAAATATTTCACACAATCGATACTTTGAGCTTTCTTTGTCAATTTATCATTATCTTCTTTCAGATACATAAATTGCATCTTTATTTGATCTGCTGCACTAACCAAATTATCAACTTTCTCAAAATAGACCTGTATTTCTTTTCTATCAGTCGCGTCTTCCCTTATGTTCATATATTTTATACGAATTATATGCACTTGATCTATAAGAGCCTTTGTATTTTCCAATGTCATTTCCATGTTTGTATTAAACATATTGATTTTTTGATGCAATAAATCTCTGAAATATGTTAGATGTTACAATTATGTAATATTAGATACAATTTATTTACTAACTGTAAAAATATAGATGACGATTAATATTATATGAAAGACTTACATATTTATACTAAGAGCAAAAATATATAATTGAAATAAATTCACTTCTTTAGTTGTAAAGTATATCACATGGCGATAATAATCTTTCAATACTTCATAATTTAATTCAATTTTCGATTGTATTAACATTTTTTCCACTTCTGTAGGAATATTTGATTTAGGTATATCTTCTATTAAACAACATTCGTTTCTGAAGAGAAAGAAAATGTGATCCTATGGCAAAATTATAATAAATTAAAAAATGTTTTATATCTTGTGGCATTATATGTAATAGATATACATACATTAGTTTGCGAAATAACTGATGCAGTACTTTCAGTAAGCAAAACACCATTGTAATCTGTTAGCACTTGATGTTTAACCTCGATATTAGTATCTTTCTCTATTAATAACTGAAGATCTCTGATAGTAGTGACACTGTTAATTTCATATGTATTAATCTTGTAAAAAGGCACACAGAAAATATATATTACCTATATGCAAAAAATATATATTAAGAAAGAAGAAAAAGCAAGAATAAAATGTATTTAACTTTTACACAAATATACCTTGTTTAGTAATGCATGTTTCAACATTGTAAATACTACCAAATGAGATGTACCAAATTTGTCGATTATTCTACCTCTTTTATGAGGGTCCCATTGTAACACTAGCCTGAACCATTGGACCATTTTACTTCGGAGACAACTTGTAAAGAAAAATATAATTAGATATACATATAAATATAAAAAATTATATCAAAGAATGTGTAAAAAGTTATTTTAGCACTACAATACTATACATTTAAGATTGATAAATTACAAAAAATGTACACAATATGCTTTTACTTTGATAAATGAGTTGGATTTTGAATATCTTTCCCAAAAATGACTTTTCCTTCCTTTTGACAGGCATAAATATCATCATAACTTTTATTCTGAATGTATTTCATCCTGTAAAATTACATTAAATTTATAATTCAACACAGACTGCTTTTGATAATCACTATCCATTACATTATATGTTTAGTTTTTTTACCATTCCATAGTATGTTGCATTGTTGGTAAAAATGGTCTTATTCCAGTTAAAAGTTCATAAAATAATATTCCTAAACTCCAATAATCAACAGAACAACTGTATGTCTCTTTCCAAAGAATTTCTGGAGCAACATAATTTAATGTGCCTACTAAAGATGCGGATATACTCTTTTCTCCAAGTTCTTTGGCATATCCAAGATCTATTAGTTTGTATGATAGCTGTAATATAATTTATATGTAATTGGATAACTTACTAATTTTTAATAAAGAAGCGACTAATTAAAATTATATTTTCTTACCACATTCTTTTCATTTTGTAAAACTATGTTTTCTGGTTTCAAGTCTCTATGAGTTATGTTAAAAGAATGCAAATATTCTACAGCTGATGAGACTTCAGTCATTATTTTGATTGCTTCTGTTTCATTAATTCCACAACAATTTTTTGGTTGATTTAATATCTGTAAGAAAAAACACATCACGATTATTCCATTAATGATAAAATTTAATTTTTTAGAAATATATATTTTATATAATATATAATAAATAACTTAAAATACAACTTTTCTTAAATCTCCTTTTTTACAATATTCCATACACAAAACTGGCAGTTTTTCTTCTACATTTGGAAGCTTAAATGGAATACATTCTGTTTTTATAATATTTGGATGACTCAAACGTTTCATTATATCAACTTCATTGACCCATCTTATTTGTTGCATCGGAGTCAATTGTGAGTAATTCCATTTGCATTTTTTAATCGCTGAAATCAATTTTATCTTATTATCAAATATTCTCTTAAATAATCTCTTGCACAATAATATATATATATAATTGGAAAGGTTTATATTTATAATTATATTGCAGTTTACCAAGTTTTTTGCCACTCTGGACATGTTCCCAAAGTTCGACAATTCCAAAACCTCCAGTTCCCAGAATACAATTTAATTTCCAATTGTCACTTGACATAATATTAGATGCCATTGCAAAAAGTAAATTATTCTTATTTCAAAACTGATATAATTTCAAATCAAACTCCAGACGATCCTTAGACGTGATACTGGTGAGAGAATGGTATTATCTTTTTCTCTATGAAAGTGTTTATAAACAAATTAAAAATTGTAAATATACAGCAGTTAGACAATGGATATTTCTCTTACCTTTGGAAGTATTAGCAATTGTTAATAAATTAAATTCGCAACTTAAATTTTCTCCAATAAGATATTTACGTTAATTTGCAAATTGTATTTTAATATTTTACATATTAGACAATATTTCATTCATTCATTCTCTCTCTCTCTCTCTCTCTCTCTCTCTCTCTGTCTTCTTTCTCTCATCCCTCGTTTTGCTGTGTCAACTGTGAATAGCTGATTGGCTGTCGGAAGAAAATTGTGAGGTTCTGGGAAACTCTCTATTTGACAATTAATTGGCAAATTATCGACCAATCAGAACAAAAGAAGCGAAGATTTCTTTCTTCTGATTGGTTGATTCAATATTACTCTATTCTCCGAATATATTTTCAAATATTTGTCGAATACGCCGATTGGTGAACGGATAGGGAATTTCTAGAGAGATCACTTTTACGGTGACTCACTGAAGGTAAAAGGCGTCTGCTAGACATTACCGGTCCAACCGTCTAGCATCACAATCATGGCTGAAATCTTCAAAAGCGGTAGCGTGCGAAGAGATGGATGTTTGATTGCTTTCATGGTGAGTTAAATGCTGCGTTAAAAAAATTGAAAACATCGAAAAAGCGTTGTTTGTTTCTACTTTGCTGTCATTTATACGTTTCCGGGAAATAAGAGGAAACTGCTGCTTTCGGCTCTGTTGCCATAAATTTATGTATTTTGATCTTTAAAATTTTATTCATATATTCATGTTTTTTCATTAATAAAATTATTATTAGATTTATATTTTTTATTAATCGTAAATGAGAAGCAAAAAGAAGACAATTTTTTTATGATATAACAAAATGTGCGTTATATATATATTTGATGCTGCAAACTAATTAATTTTTATTCTATTTCATCTAAACTGGTGTAAATGACACTGTTTTTTGTTTTCTGTCAAAATATGTAAATATGTTAATAAAGTATAAATAACTTAATGTTTAATCTTTTTGCATAATGTTATATAAGGTCAGCATTCAGAAAATTCACAGTTTATGGTTATGTATTTGTTTAGCTACTTTATATTTTTGTTCTCTTACAGAAATAAAGTATATACAAATGGGTGAAGATTTATTTAATATTCAGTGCAGTCAATTGTGTTATAACTGACAATAATTTTTTATATGAAAAAATATAAGTAAAAAGACTTTATAAAATAAACTTTTTTATAAGTTGCAAGAATTTTTTGCCAAATATATTGATTTATTGAACATATTAGCAATATTTAATGCATAATTTCTGTTATATAGATATATTTCTGATACAAAATATATTTTCACAGATAGTAGGATCTACTGAACTATGTCACAGAATATCGGAAGGCTTACATCATAGTGCAAGGGAGAGGAGATGGCACATATCTGTATATCAATGTGAATCTATCACCGATGTTGTAAAAGCAAAGACAGATATCTCTGTAGATTTTATTATTTTTGCTTCCGACTTAAGAACTGTGTATACCTTATCAGAGGTAAGTCTTTTTTATATATGAGTATGTACAAATGCATATTCTAAGTATGCACTAGTACATGCTTTTAGTGTATTCTTTTATTATGTTATTATTTTTCGTTTTTCATTGCTATTAATTAGTATTAATCTCTTTATTAATTGTTAATTTTTTAGATAGAAGCTAATATAGCAATAGTAGATGAATACTATGTAATCTCTGGTGCAACATGTCTAGTAAATTGCAATGGAATATGTAATGTTATGGGACTAATACACAGAACAAAAGCACTTTGTCACAAGTACAATATTCGTTTCCTCTCTGCTAATGTTTTTGTAAGAATTTTGCTTTATTAAGGTTTTTTATTACAATATTTAAAACATTTGTATCTAAAATTATATCTTTTATTTTAGGATATGCAAGCCTGCGTTTATTTAGGGAGTAGGATTTTAAATATAATGGAAGGAATATTAGGATTAAATAGTGGCATACCAGTTATTGGAACAGTGATGCAATATTCCTAAGATCCACAGTGTATAGGACATGAATTGTACCGGTGCTTTAAATTGCATTTTGCTCAGAGATTAAATGTAAAACTGTACATGTGAGTTTTTCTCCTCCTTAATTGCAATATAACACTAGAACCAATATATTGCAAGATGAAGAAGTCAACCGGTAAAGCGTACGCCTCTAGCCAGGAAGATAGTGAGAATGACAGTGACGTCACTGAATGCAGCATCGGGAGTAATTCAACTGCCGGCACTCATCGCAGCGATACGCCCACTCGAAGCGCCCGTTACAGACGAAAAGGTCGTCGCAGGAGTAAAACAGCCAAGTACAAGCCTTCTACGGACAAACCAATGTACAAATATTGCTGTAACGTCAAGGAGGATCATGGCCAACCATTGTTTGGCGTGCAGTTCAATTATCATTTGAAAGAGGGCGAACCGTTGATATTCGCTTCTGTGGGAAGTAATCGCGTGAGCATCTACGAATGCCCACAAAGTGGAAATATACGATTGCAACAGTGTTACGCTGATCCTGACACGGAGGAGAATTTTTACACATGCGCTTGGACGTACGATGATTCCGGGAAGCCTCTATTATCCGTGGCCGGATCGCGCGGAGTCATACGAATTATTAGTCCCGCGACGATGACCTGCATCAAGCACTATATCGGTCATGGGCACGCGATAAATGAGCTAAAAATTCATCCAAGGGATCCAAACATATTGCTTTCTGCATCAAAAGATCATGCTTTAAGATTATGGAACATCAAGACGGACGTGTGCATCGCGATCTTTGGTGGAGTTGAAGGTCACCGCGACGAAGTACTGAGCGCCGATTTCGACATACGAGGTCAACGGATCATTTCATGCGGAATGGACCATGCTCTCAAACTATGGTCCCTGGACAAACCGGACATGCAGGAGGCGATAAAGCAGTCCTATCACTGTAATCCCACCCGCAATGGTAGACCCTTCGACTCTATACTCCAACATTTTCCAGATTTCACCACTCGCGACGTTCATCGAAACTATGTCGATTGTGTGAAATGGTTCGGTGATTTTATTCTGAGCAAATCCTGTGAGAACTGCATTGTGTGCTGGAAACCGGGTAGACTCGAGGATTCGCAATTGCGCAACGGAGAAACTAGCGCAACGGTCATGCATCGTTTCGAATTTAAGGAATGTGACATTTGGTTTATACGCTTCTCCATGGACTTTTGGCAGCGCACGATTGCGCTAGGTAATCAAGTCGGTCGCACATACGTTTGGGACTTGGACATGGAAGAGCCTGGGCAAGTGCGCAGCTCGTCCCTTCAGCATCCTCGTTGCACCGCGCCGATCCGACAAACTAGTTTAAGTCGAGATGGTTCCATATTATTATGCGTCTGCGATGACGCGACTATTTGGAGATGGAACCGTGATCACTGATCTATTCAAATTCATTTTATTTACTATTATAAAGACGTGCCTTTACATACTTGCAATAATTTTAATCTAAAGACTAAATTGATTTCTTTTTCTTTTTTTTTTTTTTATGGGAGTTTCAAGTCTTGAAACAAATATTTTTATTAGTGAATTTGGTTAGATGCACTAATGTGCACAGGTGCACATAAAGATTTTTATACACAAATTTATAATAGCATAAGTATTTAAAAAAGTAAAATAAGAGTTATTGTTATTGTGTGTGTGTTGTTTAGTAGGAATAATGATAATATTTATTATTTCACTATTTTAGTTACTTATGCTATTGTAAATTTATGTACAATAATCTTTAATGTGCACAAGTACACACTAGTGCATCAGTCAAATTTGTTATATAATACATGTATATATTCAATAAATTGTATCTCCAAATTTTTGAAAGTTTTGATATTTATAATTTGTTTCAATTTGGTGATCAGCCTAAACTATTAAGTAAATTTATAATGGAAAATTGTAATTATATAAATTATAAAAAAGTATTTAGAATTTTTAATTGAATGAGATTATAAAATAGAAAATTGTTGTATGTATTTTATAATATGACATTTGATATATTTATACAAAGCTATGACTTCTATAGCTTGCACGTAAACTTTTATAAACTATCTTAAATTATCTGTCTTTGCGCATAAACTGCCATTAATAAACTCGCACCAAACGTAATATATTTCAGTGAACTCTATAATATATTGAAAAGAAAAGTATGATGAATAATTAGTTAATATAGTTTATTATTAAACAAAAAATATTTTTAGAGGGTGCAATGCAGTCTCTACATATAGAGAAATATGAGCATTTAAAGACTCTTTAAAAACACTTGTTTTTCAGTAAATTATAAAGTTCACTAATTTTACTATTAAATAATGCAAGGTAGATATTATCTATTGTTTCCAATTAATAATTTTTTTTAGCATTTCTATACAAACTGAGATTAGGTTAGATTATATACTAACACAATTACACTACCAACGTTTCAATATTAGTTTTATAAAATAATCATTGTAAAATAATTGACAAAATAAATGAAGAGCTATCCAATGTTTGTATTATCGATGTCGAATTTGCATAACTAGCATTAATTCAATATTTATAATTTTTTGCTGTGGATAATTAATTATTGTAACCTCTATTTCAGGTTAAACAGTTGGCACTATTAGACATTACACGTTGCGAATTATCATTCGTTTATACGAATTTGATAAGATTCTATACTCTCGATTTCGGAGAATGTACGGTACACGTATCGCACGCTGTAGCTCATATAAATCTTTTAGATATATAGGATTGTGAAAAAAGTATTGTACAATTAAAAGTGTATTGTAACTTGCACAATAATTGATGTACAAGGTAAGGAATTTTCTTTGATTCTTATACATATGCACCAAAAATGAATAATGAGTAAATTTAGCTTTCTGTGAGAAATATTATATGAAATCCAAAATTGATTAATTTATCTCTTTGCAGATGAGAGGCTTGTTATTTGTGAGCCTATTTTTGATAAACATATTTACTGCGGAATCTACAGACATTGATTTAAAGCATTTGAAATGTTTAGGTAGAAATAAATTCCAGTTTATGATCATTCTAATAACTATAAAATTGCAGAGTTATTAGTAGTGGAAAAATAATTGTTGCGTCTTTCAGTTTGTAGGGCAACTATGAAAGAATTACAGGATGAAATATCCAAAGCCAATCCTAACACTTTAGTCGAAGTAGGTGTATATAGAATGGATGCTAAGGGAAACACTATACATAAAAAAGTAAGTAGATAATAAAAAGAAATAATATAAAAATTATCATTATTAACAAATTCATCGTCATGATGATTATTCACTGATGACTGTCATAAGATGTGTTACAATATGTATGTATAATATGCCATTATATTTGCGAGATTTGATATAATAATACAAAAGAGCATAAAAAGTAGATTGTAAACAAATTAATATTTGTATTTATTGAAATTTTTAAAATGATTACATATGCATTGTAAAATAAAATAATCTCGTTAGGAGAATGGAAAGTTAGCTAGGATATATTTTGCAGTCAATGTATTAAATTTTAGAAATATTTTAATCATTTTTATATTATATTTTGTAAATTATATATATATTCAATTTTCACTATATTAATATGAATTTTTTTATTTCAAGGTTCCGTTAAGCCAATCAGAAGTATATATCTCCGATGTCTTGGATAATATCTGTGAGAAAATGACAGATTATGTGAGAGCAACAAAAAAGTCTAACAATCAATTGACAATTTTAAATCTCATGTCTTCGGGTAGTATGAATCCTTTAATGAGTGAAGTTGATGTAATTCAAGATGGTGATTTAAATAAAAGTCTCCAGCATTATGTAAGTGTTACTTATACTACTTATTATATTTGAATATTAATTCTGAATGTGTTCTTATTCATTATTTTATGCTAATGTTTTTAGTGTAGCGATATAGTTGGAGAATTTGAAGACGATATAATATCATTATATGTTAATAATAAATTAAATAAAAAAGAAATGCTTTGCACGAAGATCTCAAATATCTGTAATGATGATTATATTGATGAGGATGATGAAGATATTAATGCAGATGATGAGATTGATTCTAATAATTATATTACTAACCATGATTACGATGAAGATAGAGATGAATTATAAGTGCGTTTAGAACAATTTTGAACAAGTTTGGAAATGTTATTTATACATATAAGTGAATTAAAAAATTTTCAAAGATGTTAGATTAGATTAATCATTTAAATAATTTTTGTTTTGTAAAACTTTGTACATAGAATACATAAATATTCCATATTTTGTTATGAAATTGTATGCGTTATAATTACCCAATACTATATACTCTGATATTTTTATTATATTAAATATATTAATATAATAATTATCTATATTATAATATTAATTATAATTTATATGCATGTGCATATCAACGAAGATTTAAGATATTTACAGTGTATTGAATTTTCGATATTTTTAAAATTATTAATATATTTATTATTATATTAATAAATAATATTAATTAATATTATTTATATTTATTAATGTATTAATATATTTGTTCTTATTTACACACGCATGTGACATATAGATTTGAATTTTGCGCGACTCGTCACGCGAATGGTTTTAATTTGCTCATATGACAGCAGATGGCGCTGAAGTAGCCTCGTCGTTTCAAGAGTGAAGTCTGGCGAGGGTGAGCTTTGTCCGATTCGTCTGACGTCTGACATTAGCCGTCACGGGGGACGAGGACGACATTTGGAGGCGAATCCAGCTGAAGCCTTTCCAGCTGTGCGTAATTCACAACGTCATTGCATGTGCGTATGTGCGTGCGGGGCATTGACGTACGCGCGACAATGACAGTTCGTTTGCTCGTTCAAGAACGCGCGTGATCGTGGAATTTTTTGCAGGATCGTCCATCGAACATATGATTGTTGCGTTGCCGAGGTACAAAAGTACAAACTAGTAGATCGATTCATCCTTTGGAAGTGAATAGTGTTATTCGCGTCCATCGTATCGCGCGTATGATTTGTAGAAATGACAACGAAGCGTCGTGTCTCATCGTATCGGCAGTGAGACTTCCTGGAGCGATCGACGAGTGAGACAAGCCAGACGAGGAACGAAACGGACAACCATGAGTTCCGTCTGGAAACGTTTACAACGAGTGAACAAGAGAGCCGCCAAGTTTCAATTCACCGTCTCCTATCATGAAGTCACGTTGGAGACGACGACGAAATGGTGAGTAACTATGTATGATTTTATTCTTCCTCGCGAACATTTTTTTTCTCTCGTTCTTACTGTTAAATAAATCGTACTTCTCCGTTTTAAACAAATGTACTTTATTTTACCTTTGTCTGTGATACTTTTTGTTTTCATTTCGCAAACATAATTACTTCTAATTATACTTGCAACGAAAAAGTCTTGTGAAAATTCCATTCTTTAACATTTCTCGATATACTTAATTATTCCATATTAGCAATTCTGTTGAAACATTACAAATGCTTTTTAAAATAAAAGAAAACACACAGGTAATATTTATGTAAATTATACTTTTTAAGTAATTATATCTAGTTTCACAAACTATGTATTTAAAAATAGTGCAATTTAAATAGCATTTTTTGATTTATAATACTGATAATACTGATGGTTTATTGTATATACAAAATAATTTGAAAAATAATTTCAATATATTTTATAAAACTATAATATATTATATAAACCTACCTAGAAGGTAAATATTTTCTTGACATACTCTTGAGAAAATGTAGTGACACTACATTTTAATAGGAAACCAAACAAACTGAGCATTGTTTGGACAAGACGTAGCAGAAGAGTTAGTTCAGAACCCTTAGACTGGGAGCCAAGTTTGAGCGATCCACTAAAGGGTGCTATTAGCTGGCCAGTTCCTGACAATCACACAGTCTCAGTGACGTTATTCAAAGATCCACGAACACATGAATTAGAAGACAAAGATTGGACATTTGTCATCGAAGATGTAAGCAATACATTATATTGATAAATCTGTGAAACATTGGTAACACAATGCTGTGATACATACATTGTCCCATTCTTGAGCAGGTATCATCGACAGGAAAGAGACGTCATGTGGCTGCTGCAAATATAAATATGAAAAAATATGCAACCCTAGAATCTAGCCAGCAACAACTCAAACTAGACTTAAAACCAACTTCTAAGAAGATTGTTAGTGCTACGCTTGAATGTACTTTGTCATGTGTATTCCTGCGAGAGGGCAAAGCGACGTAAGGATACAGTTCAAGTTTGCTAATACATCATTAGTCAATTTTTGCACAAGTAGAAACCTATTATTTCTAATTAAATGTTTTAATTAAATAAACAGGATACTTAAATAATAATGTGTACCTAGAACTAGTACACTAAATTTTTAAGTCTATTTATAAAAGTTCCAGTCTTTGTTGTTCCAGTCATTTGTTAAATATTTGGAATATATTTTATTTTCGGATTCATGGAAAACTTAAATGTTTCTAATCTGTTATACAGGGACGAGGATATGCAAAGTATGGCTAGTTTAATGTCGGTTAATAATAACAGCGACATTGCGCCATTAGACGATTTTGATAATGAAGATATACCTGAAGATGTTGAAGAGGTATCAGTAAAGAATTTGGATGAGATATTAGATATTTCAGCCCAACTTGATTTAATGACAAGTAGCCTCACTGAAAGCGAATTACCTAGTACTCCTATAAGTGGTGAGTGTTTATATTCTTAGATCTTATTAATATAAATATTTATCCAAAAATGCAACATGTGACAACCATATACAATTTTATATATTGATTTTAATTACATAATTATCAGTTGCAATTATATTAATTAATTTAGTTACATTTTCAATTTTAAAACTTTAAAAAATTTTAATAATATTGAAAATTTTATTTACAATACTATAGAAATATTTTTTAATTCTTTATAATATGTGAGAATCAAATAGTCACATACCTGGTGCAATATAAATCATAAAATTCTATATAAATCAACTTTTAGATTCTACAAAATATGTTTTAACAAAACTTTAGTATAATTTTATTTATGATTTATAAAAATGCTTTTGTTCATGAAGTAATTGTGCTTATAATAGTGGCAAGTTTATCAAAGGATGATGCAACTCCTGTAAACGATGGGGAGCACTTTATGCGCGACATTAGTCTAACAAAAATTGGAGATTCTTTGAAAGAAAAATCGCCCATAAAAGACCAGGTTGCTGTGCAAAATGAGTATGTACAATATTGTGTTCTATAAAATAAATGTTATAATAATGTTAAATATTTACTATTTTCATAAAAAGTGTAATTTCCTGTATTTTTATCAATTACAAAAAATACAAGGAAAATTTCTAGATATGATTACTTGCTTGTTATATGTATAATACATGATCTAACAATTACAAATTTAATATCTCTTTGTAGTAGAAACATCGTACATAGCACATTAAGATTGCCGCTGCAGCCATTGGATCTTAAAAAAAATGAGGCGAATATTCCAAGACTGAAAGAGATTACTCCAGGCCAAGATTTGCTGGAATGGTGTAAAGAAGTCACTAAAGACTATCCCGGTGTTAAAGTTACTAATCTGACGACGTCTTGGCGAAACGGAATGGCATTCTGTGCAATTATTCATCATTTCAGACCTGATCTGATGTAAGTATTTCTGCTATAAAGACTGTCTTCATCGGATATCATAACTTTCGTAAATCCTTACATTCTTCGCACTATCTTTCCCTAGAAAGAAAATGTCAATCAATAACCTTGGCAATATGCCAGATTATTTTACTCGCGCGTTCCATTAATAAACACATTGAGATCGTCATTGTTTTGTACTGTCTTGTGCCAACATTTTGAAGATTATTTTTAACATCACAATGATCGACGCATATATACATATATATATATAGATATATATATGTACAATATGTAAAGAAGAAAGAGTAGACTACCACTTACAATGTATATAAATTTATCTCGTTTGTAGTGAGAGCAATTATATTAAGATAAATTACATGTTGTTTAAAACAATTTATATAAAAAATAAAATAAAAAAAGTATAAAATGTAGAAATGTTTTATTAAGAAGACAAAAATGATATTATTGTATTAAATTATTAAAATTATACTATTATAGGTCATTTTGATCTATATGGTTTTCTATTCAGATGTTGAAAAGTAATTATAAATAATTTTGCCATTATTTTATAAATAAAACATTTTATTTTATTTTTTAAGCAAATTAGATAATATTTTAAATAAAAATTTATAGAGATATTGATTCGCTGTTACCACACGATGTAAAAGGCAACTGCAAAAAAGCATTTGACGCAGGCGAAGCTCTAGGCATACCCAGAGTTATAGAACCAGCAGACATGGACATATTAACCGTACCTGATAAATTGGCTGTGATGACATATTTGTATCAATTGAGAGCACATTTTACAGGCCATGAACTGGAGGTATTTTAATTAAATTCTCTTATATTAACATCCTTTATCTTTATTCAGTGATTGTGTTTCTTCTCTTTCTTTGTGTAAGCTATATACCCAGCACAACTGATAGCATGGTGTGATACTACTAATAATGTGTTTTATTGTTTTAAATGAATCCACTCAGGTACATCAAATAGGTAAAACAGCAGACGAATCTTCTTACATGATTGGTAGATTTAACACAGACAACAACACAGACGTGAGTGTCCAGTTATTTGGCCAAGAAATTATTAACTTACGAAAGAAGGAACAGTTCGAGCAGAAAAATAATAAAGCGGACAATAATCGACGGTAAATATATTCGTTACGACATTGTGCGTAATTTTATGACAAACTGAAAACATTTAAATCAAAAGATCAAGATTAGAAACTCGCGATTCACTCTCGTAGATCGAATCCGTTCGACAACAAAAAGGACGACATCGATTCGCTGAAAAATAAGTTACATTTGAGCCTGAACACGGACATTCAAGATTACGATCAGTGTAACAAAGATAAGTCGCCGTCTAGTGTGAAAGAAGTCAAGGACATCATATTGGCCAGTTCAAAAAGCATTCTGGGCAAGGTGTTATCACCGACCAAAGAAAAGTATTCGTCGAGAGAGAAGGTACGTAGAACGAAACTCAAACAAACATTTCGACATTGCTCCCGATTCTTCAGTTCGGACTTCAGTTGTATGTATATATTTCGATTCTGGTAACTGGTGCGCAGCTTTTTTTCAATGTGAGGAAATGAGTACGAATTTATCGCAGAGCAAATCCCCGCCGAGAGTGCAACAAGCGCAGCAACGTCCGATACTTATGACACGCCGGCAATTAACCGATCCATTCGGCTCCGACGATGAAGAGGAAAACATACAGATAATCGACGACAAATGGTCGCAATCGATTTCGATTACCAAATCGCAAAGCCCGATCCGTGATGTCAGTATACACGAGATTGCGCAGATTGTCGCTTTTTACGCAGTCCTTCTATTCTACCTCGCTGCATTAACAATAAACCCATAATAAGCGCGCACTCTTTTTACTTCTTTTTACCGGTAAAGTGCGTCTTTTTTTGTTTTACTTTTCGTTCATTATTGGCGTGCAAATTTGTAACTGCGCTTTATTGCCAACAAGAATTATGCCTACGTAATACATCACGCGCTGTAAAGTTGCATGTAAATGTGCATGAGAAAAAATGCGCATAATGAATATTCCATAATATACGGAATGTAGATTTGTCAGGCTGTCTCATAAGCTTTGCATTCAATTCTTTTTGACAAATATAGTTTTAGTTCAGTCAGATTTAACAAGCACTTAATTTCAGACACTTAAGACTTTGATCTTTCTTAATTAAGAATGCTATTGTTGAAAATTAACGTTGAATTTAATATGGGAAACAAGTATCTATAAAAGATAGAAATCTTACATCAAATTTTCTATAATGGAGCTTGTAGTAATAACTAGTATGCAAAGAAAGGTCAAATATAATTTATGCATAATTTAGTTTTCCTTTTCTTTACAAAAGAAATTATATAAAAATTTTGTTTATCGATATAAAAATTAGGACATCTAAATAAAAATAAGTTAGAAATTTGATAATTTTATGTGTTGTTTCAATTTCCTTTCTTTGTACAGGAATATTTTTGATCTGAGTTACATATATCAATGAAGAAGCTTTACGATATCTCGATGCAATCAAACTTTATTAGTATAAGTGTAGTTAAGAGTAATCTTTTATAGGATTCGCTAAACTCTGATGATAAAGGAAGTCGAGGCAGTACAGAATGTCAAGGTGCATCACCGCCATATGGAGAACAACGTTCGCAACACGTAATTAATGCTTGCTTTTACTATCGTCTTTTTTTAATTCATGATATATCAGTCAATTTATATTTTCATCTTCTTTTTATATCAGGCATTAGTTACCCGGCACGATGAATTGCGAGAGCGCGCGAGACAACTCTTGGAACAAGCCAGAAACCAGACGAAGCCATCTGGATTTGTTTCCGCTGCAATCAGTCCTGTCGAGGTGTGTTTTGTATTTATATATTTTATATAATATAAAATATATTATAAAATGTTATATATATTACATTAGATGGGGTTTTTTATATAATATATATATAACATATTTATATTTTATAATATATTTATATATAATATGTTTTATTTAGGCACAGAATGACGATGAAAGGCAGCAACAATTACGTGAAAGGGCGAGACGCTTGATAGCAGAAGTGAAAATGGGTGTTGCTGTTACTCCGAGTCAATTAAATGACGATAACAGCAGTGACAGACGGTCGATAGACGATCAGAACAATAGTCCTAGACGTAGCATCACACCATCGACTCCTGGTGATAGACTTAGCATAAAGGTATTCAAAATGATACGCGTCTACTTTTTCGACGTTCATAACGCGTTATTGAAATTCTAATTATATTAAATTGTAATTAATTAACTTCTTAGTCTGAGTATAATGGAAACATACTGGGAATACGAGCGTAATAGACGGTGAAAAGAAAACTGGTTCGCCTTTGTATTCCTTCTCTAAAATCATGGAACGAATCTCACCTGATAAAGGAAGTCCAGACAGAACTCCGTATACACTTCGCGGGGTACGTTAATTTGATTTGAATAATTTCTCAAATTATTAATTTTTAATTAAGAAAATTGCGACTTGTGATATATTTGAAGCAATGCATATATATATTCAAAATTGCTAATTTTTTAGCACATTTTAATAATGATTTAATTTATTTTTCAATACTTAGTTGGGTAAAGACATGACATCGTATATTCAAAACGAGCTCGAAGCACTTGAGAGGGAACAAAATCAAATCGACATACAGGCTGGTAAACTTGAAAAACAATTAAGAGCGGCTATGGAGAGCGATAATGAAGATGAAACGGAAAGACTGATGTCTCTATGGTTTACACTTGTTAACAAGAAGAACGCACTTTTAAGAAGACAAATGCAATTAAACATATTGTAAGTGATTCATTGATGCAAGCATATTATTCTTTATGAGTGTGTTTGTAATTGAAAATTGTATAAACATAGTATTATCGCAATAATCTCAATTCAACAAATGGAATTTATCTTTAGAGAAAAAGAAGATGACTTAGAACGACGATTCGAACTTTTAAATCGCGAATTGAGAAGCATCCTCGCGGTGGAAGATTGGCGGAAAACATCCGAGCAAAAAATGCGTGAGAATTTATTGTTGGAGGAGTTGGTGTCAATCGTGAATAAAAGAGACGAATTGGTTCATCATCTCGATACACAAGAAAGAGCGTAAGTATAATGGATACATATATATTATTATATTAAAATTCTGGAAAATTATTAAATTTTATTTTTTGTTTTCTCATACAATTTTCAGTATCGAGGATGATGACGAGATAGAGCGCGATTTGTCTCGTGCAGGACTAGCTCAACGAAACAAAAATTGTGTTGTGCAATGAAGAATTAATTATCTGTTGTGTTTTTCTGACACTATTTTGAAGGTAAATTACTTAACGTATACAAATATTTTAGAAAAATCAAGAGTAAAAATATAATTTATTACTTTTGTGTATAAGATTAAAATTTAAATTTTATTCATTTTTTCATTGATATTTGTTTTTAAATTTGATTATTAAATCTCTCTAAATTCAATTTATGTCGAATTAAAGTTATATATTAGAGAGGATTAGTAAAACAAAATTTTAATTCCTATTTTTATATTATATTAATTTATATTAATTCCTATTTATTAAAGTTTTATTTTTATACTCACATATTTAAGTGGCTCATACTTAATATCTTAATCAAAACATTAATTTTGTGTAGTAAGAAACACAATTTTTATATTGAATATTTTCACTCAGCTATTGAAATTTTCCTCAAAAATAATTTTTTTAAAATAAAATATGTCATATTCAAAAGCACAATTTCGAATGTTTTACAGGCATGACCCATTTGTTGCAAAGTTGCCAAAGAGCCAACAAAATTAGAAATTGGAAAGTTAAGTATGGTGTTTCATGATTGCAACAGGTTATTTTTAGAAATATATTTTTTTATTGTACATTATAGATCAATTAATTCGAAAAATAGATTTCTACTTTATCTTTTGCTTTCACTATAAATGCGCTAAATTCGTAACAAAGAAAAATAAGAAAAAGGAATTAAAATTACAAATATCAACAAGCATTATATAAATATAATCAATGAAGTGCATATAAATGCACTTGATTTCTTATATGTTATCAAATACAGAATTGTCGATTGTTTCATATAGTAAGCATTTTAAGCGTGTTTTAAGTGGAATGTCGCGCTTTAATAGAATTGTGTGCAAATAGATGAAATGATAAATGTCGTCAAGTAAAGAATTATATAAGACATTTTCACAATTGATAATAGATAAAGTGATGTAATTTTTCTTCTTTTTAACTAAGAAATAAGACGTGTTTATATTTAGTGAAAGCAGAGCGAATGCAAATAAAAAGAATGGAAGTTAGTGATGTAAGGATATATGCCTTGACGAGATTCACAAGAAATAATTAATTATAACGTTATCTGTAATAATGTATATTATTATTTCGGTACTACAGTCGCATATATTCATATAATTAATAATTAATTCAGGAATATAAAAGGAATGAGACTTTTAGTTAATATTAGCCGGTGAATTTGAAACATTTGATTTATGTAGAGATTTACTTTTGGCTCAGTCGCCAAGATTAATTTATTTAATATTGAGAAACCAAAGATTTATGACAAATAATTATTTGAAAATCACATTGTTTGTGAAAAAAACATTAATGATAAATTTGATCGATCAGATCGTGTGTCTCTCTCTCTCTCTCTTTCTCTCTCCGAATATTTTTATAGCTACTATCTCGTCTGACTAAAGAGATTAGTCATACGTAAAGTTAATGAATCCACAATCGATCTAACTCGATATATCGCTATCGATTTAAATCGATTCGCGGAGAAGAAGGTTCATTACGAAGAGAACTTCATGCGTGTCGGAGTTATTTTACAGACTCGTTCTTTTTCAATCACATATGTACTCTATTTGTGCCATATATATATGTATAGAAACGTTGATATACATTTTATTGTCCTACTTGTGTGAGAGATTCACAGTGCAGAGGGATGCACATACACGTTGAAAGGTAAAAATAATTTTACTGGTGATGTATACTTTTTTTAGAACGTCGTAATAAGATTAAGACTAATTTTGTTTTCTATGCGGTTATATTCACGTGTGAGATTCTGCATCGATTAAGTATATATATATAAGTATTTGGAATGAAATATGATTACTTCCAAGTACTTGGATCGTAGATTGTAACATAACACGTAAAAACAAAAATAATTAGGTATTTGCTCAAAATTTGGTCTTTATTACATAGCATGTATTCTATCTTAATGAATGGCATACGGTAAAAAATTATGACGAATGTTGATTACGTTTGTTTTTACGTTTGATGCAATTTTCGAGAATAAATTGACAAATATTTATTGCCTCTCTAACAATAAGTAATTTATTTAATTTTTTTCGAAATTGCTGATAAAGATATGTGTTCCTTAACATGACTGCTCCGTAAAACGGAGAATTGAATGCAGGATTTATCTGCAAAGAGCAATATATGAAAAATAAACATCGAAATCTATCTCCTACAGCACAAAACAACGTTAATTTTTCGTAAAATCACACAAATCCAAAATTTTAATTTCGAATAAAAATGTTAATTTCCAAAGATGCTTTTTATATATATTTCATATAGTGTAAAATTTTGAAATTTAACAAAAATGAAAAAAAGAAGTGCGTGGTAGGAGATTAAATGTTTTATACATGTTATGCTAGACAATCACACAGTGGGTATTGTCAAAAATTTTCGTCAAACGAAGATTTTAGTAAAACATGCAAATGCGTTTTCATGTTACGTCATTCTGCCTGTAAACGATTTAGCATAACTTTTGAATACGTCATCTCTTTGTGAAATAATCTTCAATCGAATATACTAACACATATACGCAAAAAATTTATATAATTATTTCTAAAAGCGTGTATGATAATACACATGTCAGAGATATTGCGTGAATGCTCGAGATATCAGAATGATATAATCGAGATACAGCATAACGATCGATTCGATTATATATACATATACATGTTTTAAGCAAACCATATAAAAAATCGCTATCCTGATAGCATGTATTATCGAAACATATTTAGAGTATATATGTAATTAAAGCTTGGAAAAAAACATTTCGGAAAAATGTTGATATACATATATATATATATCTACAATTAAACAAAATATTGTAACGATTTTGTATTTTCATCTTTATTTCTTTATTTTTTGTAGTTTTGTTAATTGTCGAAAGGGATGAAGAATCTCCGTTAAGCTAAAATCACGTAATATCGATGACCCTTAGTTAATGAAGGAAGGAAAACGTTTTTGCACAGCTGAAATATTGAGGAACAAGAGATATATCATCACATATTGCGAGGCGTGATTTTTACTCTTGTTACGAATCGATCTCGTTAAAATCATATTCTAAAATCTTGAATAAGGCTGGTGTAGGCCAAACTCATGTATACTGATTCCAACTGATTTTTATTCGCCGTCGAATTATAATTTTTCACGGCAAACGCGATTATAGGCGATTATATCGTTTTTCCGAATAAAGCGATTTAGCAATAATTTATTATTCTAGTGCCTATGGATACTCGTACGTTTATAAAAACCATAGCACACACTGGATCGATCATAATTTACTTTATCCTGTACTATTACGAAAAAGTAATAATTGTAAAGATAATCGTTCTTGCCAATGCTGTAGTCTTGTGGAGATGTGCTGCTCTTTATTTTACTTTGCCGATGTTAATCGTAATAATGTATGTGAGGGTGCGAGAGCGAGCGAAGAAAAAAAAACGTGTATCGCGCAATATTCGCCACTAATAAGGAAAGACTTATATAAAGCACCGCAGAAGAAAATAATAAATATGATGTTGATGATACTACGATCGATGTGATATTGCCGTTTTATTTTTATTAAAACGATAAAATGCATCACGTCTGAAATAATCCCTAAGCCTATTATGACATAATTTCTTAATGTAAAAAATATGTCAAACGACATCTGTTTTTTGCTATTTTTTCAATAAAAAATTACGTCATAATGTATATAAAAAAGAGTGAGATATTTTAAATAAGACGGCATTTTAGTTTTAAAAATTAAAAAGGAAACCACAAAATATAATTGAGATACAATTTTATTAGAGGATGTTTTGCGATGGCAGTGACGCTATGTACACATATTCATTACATGTTTATGCAATAGGAATGACTATTTGTCACCTCCGGATTTGGTAACCGCGACACACTTGATTGGGACTATACATAAATATCGATTGCGATATGTACATTACATGAAAAGTTACAGAAATTACAAATCTATTATACACTAATGATGATAACAGTGACGTACAACTTGTTACGATGTTTTTTTGAATTTCATAACGAGATGCTTTACCACGGATAAAGTTTATTTAGTATAAACTCATTGGATTACACAACGAGATGAGTTTTTTGAGTTTCTTTCAAAAAATATCGTTCGAACGATGTATTAGCGTTCCACAATCTATTATTTAACTTATCGCGTCACAATCTTTCTTAAATAACAAATTATGCACTCGCAAAAAATTATTACGTTCACTTTCAATTGCAAATTCTTTTACAACTTTGGCATTCGATAATTCCTGTAATATTTAATTGAAGTTTCGCACAATAAGTATATCATGCAAATTGCAAACAGAGGGGAAAAACGCGTATTGTTGTTTTTTGGGATTTTTCCATAATTATGAAAAAATCGGATTCGGAGTTTATATTTTAAAAACATAGTTCGAAGGAAAAAGCCCGGTCTTCCCTTTCAGTCTTCCCTGCCACCAACCGCCCTCATCTGAAAAAATATTGTTCATCGATTAACACTTAAAGAAATTCATTATCGCACATTAGCAAAAGAATCTTTTTCTATATAGATAGATATAATTACATTCACAATTTTTATCTTGCAATAAAATAGAAACGAATAACGAAGGCTATACACTTTAGTAAAAAATTGCACATTCAACGTTATTCTCTATGCTTCTTCTCTTTTATATTATTATTATTTATTGTAAAACAATCACACAAGTTAAATCAACTCACGTTCTTTGAGTACTTCCACTTCGTCGCCTTCCTGGAGTCCTAGCTCGTCGAGATCTTGCGGCTCATAGTTGTACAAGACTTTGACTCTTGGCAAACTTGGCGGTGCCGGTTTTTGGGGAAGCACTTTTCTATTAGCTACCGCGTACGCGATGTTATCCTCCTTTCTTACGTGGTCCAGTGCGTCGTTAGTCTGTTGCATGTTCAACTCCTGGGGCGTTTGCATTCCTGTATTGTGACCGGAAGCATTATGGTCGCCATTGTGGGGAGGTAACTGGAATCTTGCGGATTCGTGCGGTGGTGGTGGCTCTGTGGGTGGTGGAGGAAATTTGAGCAAACCTTAAAATTATCAGAAAATAAACATATAATCAATTCTGAAGTTACAATATTGTAAATTAATAAATAAAATAAATTATAATTATTGTAAAATAATTAAGTTACGCTATAATAAATAATTAAGTTAAGGCTCCTTGGTATTCGCCGCGGCCATGTTAAATTGTGACGTCAGAGGAAAGAAAGTATACACGCTCAAAATTTTTGCGTGCCATTTTTAGATAAAAAGATATTTTGATAAAATACAATAACTTTAGATGGTTTTAGTACACTTTTAAAATATTCCGAAAACGAATCTTTTCTCTTTATAATCAATCAACAGATGTAAAATGATTGTAATATGCACAGTCATTCCGCATGACAAAGTCTGATATCACGATCATTTTTTACAATTGTTGGTTGACTAATAAGGGAAAAATAGTTTTCGAAATATTGATTTTAAAAGTGTGTTAAAATCACCCAAAGTGTTTCATCAAAATATCTTTTTATCTAAAAATGGCACGCAAAAATTTTCACCGTGTATTTTCTCGTCTCTGACGTCATAATCCAATATGGCCGCAATAAATACTAAGGAGCCTTAAAGATACTTCTTCAAATCGTCGAAACTTACCACGTGGTCCGGGATTTGTATTACTAGTTAACAAATTGGGATCGATATACACGCCCAGCATAGCAGCAACCTGTTGATTTCGTAACATTTGGGAATAGCCTCCAGCTCTTAAGCTCATGCTCCTCTGAAGATGTTGACCAGGTTGAAAGTTTGGACGATTCGGTGGAATGCTCGGTCTACAGTTGGGGTCTTTACAGTTGGGGTCTTTACAGTTGAAAGTCTGAGCTTGTGCAAGCGTACATTCTCTACAGTCTCTACAGTTTAAAGTTGCTTGTGGAGGAGGAATACAGTATCTGCAGTTTAAAGCCGCTTGTGCAGGAACACAGTCTTTACAGTGGAAATTCGTTTGTACAGGATTCATAGATCTTTGAGCCGCTACAGGATAAGGAGGAGGTTTTCCTGTCGGATTATTTGCAACTGTTGAATCGCCCGGCTTCGGTGCTGAACGAATCGATCTCGAGAGCTTATTATTGCGCGAACGAATAAACGTCGACGTCGATCGATTCAAATTAGGCTCTGAAATAGAAACGATATCATTATTTGTGTCTAAAAGAAATGTAATTATATATTTTTTACGTGCGTGTATATGTCTGTATACATATAAAACAAGATATTTATTCGTCGATATTTTAATGATTAAATATTCAATAATTTTCAGATTAGAAGAGATTACGAAAATTCATAAAAACTCACTTGTCGTGCTCGGCAATCCTGGACCGATACTGACGTTGAGAATTTTGCCAAACGGTTTCAAAATCTCCTTATCGCCGTAATCGGTTTGCGTGAACTTTACATGCCTAGTGCCACCACCACCCCAGCCTTCTTTCTTCACTTTAAATTCCAAGCTGGTGAAAGAAATAAATTTATAAATTTCATTTCGAGCGCTATAGAATTTAAAATATTATAGAATTATTAGAAAACAATTTTCATGGAATGCGTTATAATATAATGTGTAAAATAAATCATACTCGTTGCTAAATTTAACATTCAAGGGATGACCGACGTCCTCGAGATATTTTTTGCCGAGAACGGATAGAAATTCCGTTTTGAATACCGATTCTAATAAGCTGGCGTAATCCTCCCTCGTATGAATAATTACGAAATTGTCCTGGAATGAAAATGATATTGTCAAAATATATGCGACTATTATACAACATGTATATTATGCAGAGATTAGGATAAAAGGCATAATTACTTGCAGCGTGCTTAGCGACACGTGGCTGATCTGATTAAATGCGAGCTTCCTTTTAATTACCTCGACAGATTTACCCTTTTCCGTACCTTTCGTTATTTGCTCTCGGCCGATTAAATAAAGATACTTTGCGGTGAGAATGAGATCTCTTCTGCACATCTGTTACACGAATTATTTGTTGTAAGAATCTTTAATTTGTTTGAATCCTAATGCAAAATCCAAGCTACACTATGTCATTAGATAGATTTCTCTAACAATAAGGTAATATTTTCTAAGGAATCCAATCTAAATTAAACAACGCTCAAGTTGTTCGACAAAGTTGTCGGGAGACTTTCACCTTGAATCTTCTGTCGTATTTCTTCACGACCTCGGCAAAGAACACTTTTTCTCGTCTTCCAAGCAGACTCATTGTTTGCGGCTTGCCTTCTAGCCCTATGTAATCGCCCACGAAATTTCTATTCAGACTCGCCCGTCTTCGTTCCTTGTGACCGAAGAGAAGATTAGCCGCTTCCTGTTTCTGCTGTTGCTGTCTCTTCCGGGCAAAGTACTTTTTGAAGGCTTTCTGAATGACTCGCGCATACATGTTGTACTTCCGGTCACGAGTTTCCTCCAGCATAAAGAGCTAAGTGGATAGTATTATTTAATCAACTCGTCGGACTCTTAACTTAATTCGAATGTGTGTTTCTACGAAGTCTGCGAAAGCAAAGACGCTGATGGTAAATGATAGCTTTGTTGTCGAGACGAAGGGAAACTTACCGTTTCGGGTGCCTTGATGAAGAGCTTTGTTCTACCAAGCTGATATTGCGATCTATCGACATGGTTGTTTCCCAATATCCATTCAACACCCTGTTTTTCGTCCCCCGGCCAATGTGGCCAGGTTTCTTTGGTGAGAATCGCATATCTGTGTAAAAACTTGGCAAACGTCCTTCTATAGGCGAAGCCAGCCCTGCGTACTCGAATGTTTTCTCTCAAACCTAAATATTCCACCTAGATTCACGAGGAAAATTGTGCGATCACTATCCTCCTCTGTTAATTCATCGCCACGAGCGTGTCGAATCTCAGATTCAACTACTCTGGAGGTTTTTATTAAGTTACACCTGAGTATTCGCTGGGTTTGTGTTTACGGCTAAAATTGAAACGTTCATGTAGCAGACGAGCTATTTAGCTGATTATTATCGATCGCGAAATATAACGTCCGCGTAATACAGTTCCGTTAGAACATCTCTCTCGATGGGCATTCTACTCTATTAAGGTAACTATCATTCTAGTGTAGGTTGTAATGTGGAAACTATGCCGTATTGACTTTCTCGAACAAAATTTCAGCGTTATTACTCCGGAAGGAGGAGGATAAGATACGGCTTTATCCGTGTAATCGCTCTGGCATAGTTCATTCGAAATATCGTATCATCAAGCTAAGTGAGTGAACTCAACTAAGAAAATCTCATTAATGTTCTTGTTTTCTCATGTTCCTCAAATTATCGATTACCTGTCTGTCTCGTTCATATTTTTCATAAATGTTTGCAATCTTATACATATACAAACTGCTCCAGAACTACCGTAAAATCTGTTAATGATAGATTTTGGAATCATTTGGAGACGATTTTTTCTCAGTAAAAGTGTGAATAATTTTCAAGTTATAAGCGATTTTTCATAAACTAAATCTAGTGGAAATAAAATATTAACAAAAGCACATTCTTCAATTAATTTCAGGTAGAGTTTAACTTTAATAAAATTTCAATTTAAGGCTTACAATTAGTTACAAAGATACATGATGGCAAAAATTGGAAACATGGAAAAATAATGATGGCCTTCCTCAACATTTTCACTGAGGAAAAATTGTTTTCAAATGATACCAGGAATCTGTGCCATTAACAGATTTTAGGATAATTCTCGAACACCCTGCATAGAGTGTAAAAAAATGTGGATCCCTACTTTGAGAGTTTTATTCTTATTTATTCAGTAGCGGTCCACATTTTTGTTCCACCTTATAAATGTCCACACGTGTGCGACAAATGTTAAATGCTCTCTCTCTCTCTCTCTCTCTCGATAAATACTATATACCTGATGCTTGACTCTCTGAAGATCCCAGTCGCGCGGCTTTTTCGACTCGTTCGGCTTGATGCATCGAATATAATGCGGCGTGCACTTTGTCAGTTGACCAACTAAACGACTTGCTTGATTTCTGATTTTGCTGCCCGCGGTGGTTGGTCTGGACTTGAGAGTCTTCGTTTTACTGGTGTCCGTTGGATAAAGCTCGCGCACCAAGGTACTAACAAGATACATAAATATCATCTTTCTTTATATTTCGACCAATTTACCTTTTTTTAAACGCTATTATATAATACTTGTCGAGCGATGGTTTCAAACATTTCGCATGAGATAAAAAGAACAGAAACGAAATATACAATTAATTGGCTAATCTTCAACATCATGTGTCATCAATTTACGACTGAAATCGCGGCACTCTTATGCGCGACATTTGCCACACGTAATACTTATATAAATAAACGCGCGCAATTAATTTAGTGACGATTACGTCAAATTATGGAGAAATTTACGTAACGATGCAGTGATTTTCCTACTTTACTTAATTTCCTACTTTATGCACTACATTAGTTTAGATTATCGAAACATGTGGAATAAAACGCGATTATCTAATATCTTTCCTAATCTTTCAGAATTAAATCCGCCAAAAACAAATTTTAAATTTTCTTTTATGTTATAATAATATTTTAATATTATAATAATATAATGACATAAAGAATAATAATATTATTAAAATATTATAATATAATAATTTAATTTACTAATATTTCTCATAACCACACGTAATGTTTTCTCTTTAGCTCATGCTCTTGTTATGAAATATCGATCGAAGAAAGAGAAGGAGAGAGAAAAGGAATACGGGTTAATTAATCATCGTCGAGCGGATAACTTCATTATGCGGGCTCGTCTAGCTTTCGAAATAATTAGTCGCATGTCGTATAATTGACATTTAATGGAATGATCGCTTACTTGGTGCTGGTCTGCATCAACTCGATCAGATCCAAGAAGAGAACATCTCGGTTCTTATCGCAAAATCCGTCAACAGAGTAGGACACGGCACCGGCGTAATGAAGGATTGCGAAACCGTCACTGATGTCTTGGAAGTGGTTGTGCTTGCTGGCTGTTCCCGCCAATTTCTGCGAGATTCGATAACGATATATAATTAGGAATATTATCATTGTAAAAAAATATGGAAAATTATCATCCAAAAAGCGGAACGTCAGTTTCGACGAAGCACTTTCGTACCTTCTTCAAGTCGATGTCGGCACCGGTGCTACCGCCGTGCAACGTCGCGCACACGTCATCTAGTACTAGAAACAGACCAGGTGGCCTTTTACCCTCGAGAAGGTCTACGACGACGGCGTTATTAAAGTAATCTATCGGCGTCCATCTAATGTTCTCGGCAATGTATTCTTCCTGAAAACAAACAGGAGATCGGGTCTATTCAAGAGGTCTTTTACAAGGACAAATAGTCCTTAAGTAGGATAAATGGTCGTCATTTATCGCCGTACAATTACTCGGCTAATTAAGAAAGCGTAACAATTTATGACTATTGAATTAATGTAAGAAAAAGAGAAAGAGATAAATGGTCGATAAAGATAAAAAGTGTGTGACACGCGTCGCATAGATTGCTCGGGTAATTTAAGTCGTCGATCTAACTTTCGTGGAAGATATGCGCAGGCAGGTTGCAGGCACGCAAACAACGTTACGTCGAAAATACGGGCTTAATTGCGTGCCGCCGCGCCGGTAACACCGCATATATCCCGCACGTACCAGCGATTTATATCTCGTTTTCTCGAGGCGATAGAAGGGAAAGGCGTGTAGTAATAACGCGATTGCCGGGCGCTTTTAAAATCGCTTTCCATTTCAGCGCGCTGCCAAAGGTGCACCCAGAGAAAACTGGTCTCTCGTCGCGCTATTTCAACCCTTCCCTGCCTCGTCCTGTTTCGCAATAATCCGTCCTGCGAGACATTTGCGTAATTATTTGAAGCGAGGATTAAAGGTTTCTTCCTTTTAGCTCACTGGTTCAGAGTTTATCTCTTTCTTTCCCATACGGAGTAAAAAAGATGAACTCTGAACTAGAGTGCAGCCAGTTCAACTAAAAAGAACAGACCTTTTAAGGCTCCTGGGTCTTCACAGCGGCTATGTTAGATTGTGACGTCAGGGGCGAGAAAACACACGCTGAAAATTCTTAGGCGCCATTTTTAAATAAAGAAAAGATATTTTAATGAAACACTAATGCAGATGGCTTTAGCACACTTTTAAAATATCTCCAAAACTATTTCCTATAAAGAGTAAACTGACATTAGACATTAAAATGATGTCATTTTGATGTCTAACGTCATTCGACGTTAAAATAACGTACACTTGCTACCTGAGATTCTTTTCCTTTGTCAGACAATTAATAATCGTAAAATGATCGTGATATCAGACTTTGGCGTGCGGAATGACTGTGCATGTATAAAGAGCAGACTGGGCCTCATTTTTAGCTATTGATTGATTATAAAGGGAAAAGGATAGTTTAAGGTATTCTAAGAAGGTGCTAAAACCATCTAATTGTAAAATAATATTTCATCGAAATATCTTTTCATTTATTCGAAATGGCATCTAAAAATTTGTAGCGCGTGTTTTCTCGTCTCTGACATCACAATTCCAACATGATCGGACTCTTAAGACAAAATCTTTCGAATCCCATTCGTGAGAATTTATATTCCAAATCTTTCAGCACGCGTCGTCTCTCTTTCACAGTCACGCATATTTATAATATGCGATCTTTGCACGATCGCCTTCCAAAATTGGGGGCTTATCCTTCCTTGCTTTCGAATAGATAATTTCTCGGCCTGTCTTTGTGCTCACAAAGGCGCTTCATGGTCAAGTTTTTTTTGTATTCGGTCTAGTTGCGATCCGATCGCGACACGCCGTAATCAGAAGTGGCACGATTTTTTCGTCCTGGCCTTTAGTCGAGTTAACGACTCTTTTTCATAAGGCTTGTGACCTCTTTATGATGGATGGACACTGTTTCCACCTTGATTGTTCTTCGGAAGACTACACCATACAATGACGTTATGGCCCGTATTCGATTTCTTTTCTGTAATATTTATATAATGTAGGTTCGGGCTCTCTCTTCCGTAAAAGATGCGAAGACCCTTTCAAAACAAACAACCGATTCGCGTAGATTTAATTATATATTATCAATTCCTTCTCTCTCTCTATCTCTCTATTATAATATTTTGTGACGCACGATTTCCGTGTATTTGCGTCAAATAATAGTCCATTCAGTAGATGGAGCGTCAATCAAGCAACGCTCGAGTGATTGGCGAATGAATGGTTCGCAACGTGGTAGATAATTAATGTATACACTAAATTTGGCGCGCGTATTCACGATTCCTTAGCGTCCTTTCGGAGCAGGTGCTTTCACTTCGCGCGGCCATTATATTGTTTCACCTTTCCGTTCTCGGACTGTTCCTCGGCGAAAAAAGAAAACTTATTCAATCAATCTCAGAATGAGATGCGAATTAAATAATTACACGCTGTTGAAATAATATCGCAAAAACGGATATTTATTGTTTTTTTTTTTCAACTCGAAATTAGCATTTCTCAGGCTGAGAAACAAAAAGATGCGGACGTGCAAAGTACGCGCGAGCATTTAATTAGCTTCGCGATAGTCGCGATAAACAAATTAGTCATAACCCGTTATGATTATGCGCAATTACTTTGTCGTGACGTTTCGGTGGTAGTTAGGAGCGCGCGTAAGTGCTCATTACGCACTCACGCGCCGTAAGTTGTAATGATCTGTCGTTTTCATCGCGTCTCTTTAATCTCGATTTTCTGCGTAACGTATAATAATAATATATGGCGTGTTGCAATGTGTCATTCGCGGCGCGATTTTCTACCTTTCCTTTCGCGGACAATTTCGGAATTCAATTCGTTACGTTTGCGCCAACAAAGACGCGAAAGAAAAAAGTGCAAGAGCATCAGCGTCCGGATTATTTTTTCCAGAGGGACATGATTACAATTTTGTTGTTTCTTATTTTTTGTTCCTTCTGAATTTATTTTATTATTTTGTTATTTTCATTTTTTTATATTAAAGCTTCTTTCGGATCTTCAATTTTATTTTAATATTATTTAGTTCACTTATTTTACGATTGTTGATTCGAGGGAAAAAATAGTTTTTCGAATATTTTAAAAAGTTGTGTTTCATCAAAATATATTTTTATCTAAAAATGGCACGCAAAAATCGTCAGCGTGTATTTTCTCACCTTTGACGTCACAATTTAACATGCCCACGGCGAGGACCAAAGAGACTTAAATATGCAAATAAATATGCAAATAAATTCCAGTGTTTATTCAAAAGGAGAACAATAAATGCTTAATTTTTTTACCGATTCCAAGGTGGTCGAATGCTCCCTCTTGCATTTATGTGCAAGAGAACCTAAAACCTAAGGGGAAAACGGTCGGTTCTCCAGATAAAGAGAGTTCGCTCAATCTGACGGACAATTGCACTCTATTTGGATTTGTTTGGAGCGAGTAATCGCGTCTCTCGTTGCCGGTTAACTTTCCACTTGACGCGTTTCACCTTCGACCCCGCTTATTTCGCTTTACCGTAGATTTAAGGACGCCCGACGGATACGCGTTCTGATTTCCGTATAGCCTCGCGGAACAACGAGGATGCATTGTCGTGCCGGTCGGGGATCGGCGAGGATGCAACCCAGATGCTTTGCCTATGTAAACGCTCGCGCCCATTTGGGTTTCCGGCGGCAATTTCCTCAAAATTAGATTCCGTTAGAACGGAACAGGGGACAGTAATTAAAAGCTGGCGCCGTGTGTAACGAACGCGCACGTGCGACCCGTTACGTAATGTACATTCTTCGTCTTATTTCTTATCATTTCGCGATTAGGACGAAATTATCGTCGCTTACAATAGGCGATCATTTTTTGCTTATACGCAGAAAACAAAGAAATGTCAAATCAACAATTTATATGAATACTCGTATATATGCAACAATATATAATCTTATAAGAATTTGCGAATAATAAAATATGTTATTTTACATAAAAATAAGTTATTTTCTGTCTAACATTTTTTTCCATCCAAGACAAATTATTCTTAAATAATAAGATTTATATTTTTCTTGATTAAACTATATAAAATGTTTTCATTTAAGCAAATTTTTATATACAAGTATATATAAGTTTTGATTTGATATATCTTTTTTCTGTGTATGTAAAACAAATCAGTAGAAACATCGAAAATGTCAGACACTTTTAGATATAGAAAGAATAATATAGCTATTACAAATAAATGTTCGATGAATAAGTTGTTGGAATTTTATATATGCAGACATTTTAAGAAGAAAGGTAACTCTCTCACGAATTCTTGATATGCTCTACTTTATCGAAAAAAATTCGATTAATTTTACACACACACACACGCACACATGTAGGTACGAATATATGTATATGTATTTAGGCCAACACTTTTCATTCTACACTAAAAAAAACATTTGTTAACTTGACTAAACCATTCAACTAATTGTAAATATTATATTTTGTTAATTGAATATATAAAAATATTTAAATTAAATATAACACAAAACATATAATTTGACTTAAATACTAATATATATGTTCAATTAACAATACAATAATTTATAGTTGAAAGGTTTAATCAAGTTAACAAATTTTTTTTCAGTGTCTTTTATACATTAAGTCCAGTGTTTGCTGTTATCTAAATAAAATTATATAGATGATCATCTATAGATAAAACGTTCGCGTCATCTTATCTTCATACAATATATAGATAATAAAAATATATTCTATATCTGCATTTTAGATTAAAAAAAGTATCATCTTTATTAAATTATCTCGAATAATTTTCAGATTTGGTTTAGAATCACATAGTACATAAAAATACTTAAATAATAGAACTTAAACAGCAAACGATAAATATTGATAAATAAAAATATGAATACATATATTTGTATATCCCTTTTATAATTTACATTTTTTTATAACTGCGTTTACATATGCAGTCTTAAAAATTATTACATAAAAAATATCTAGATGAATCGTCATATAATTTTATCTTTTATCTAGAAATATTTAAAACAAATTTATCGTCGTCTTATCTAAGATGAATTTCCATATTTTTATCTCATCTTTATCTAGCTAATTTTAAAATCATCTAACAATAAACACAACACTGATTGAATCACTATTTTATACATTCAAAAGAATAATTATGTAAATACAAATGTTTATACAAAGTGTATCTAAATAAGTGTGAAAAAATTTAATAGATGATTCTTTGTCGAAAAATTAAGCGGGGTTTATTCTTATATACTCTTATGTCTCTCCCTGAGGGAATTAAAAAAATGAAACTTGGTGGATATTTTCCGTTTCATTTTTTTTAATTTGTCTGAAATTTGAGAAAAAAAATTCCTCCTTAATTTTGAAGAAGAATCATATGCTAAATTTTTTTTGCACTTATTTAGACGGTTGCATCTTTTCGATTATGCAGAATTTAAAAAATTCTCAAATTTTATCGCTTTTATGGAAACACATGTATGATGTTCTGACGCTCTCATTCCGAATGAACGTTAATGAGGTAAAAAAAAAGGTCGCGACTAATTAGATCAGGAGTCACAAACATCACGCTCATGGGAACCGCGTTCTATTGTTGCCGGAATTGTTGGGAGAAGGGAAGGGCGTATAAAAACGCAGATAATGGAGAAGATAGATGTGTGTATTCTGGGTTAACGGCGGTGAAAATAAGTGAGAGAGAGGGGAATTAGCCTCATCTCGATTTCACGAGAGATCGCCGGATTCGTGAGACAGTTAGATGCCAAATGTCAACTCGCGGTCAAACTATTTTTCCTCTTACGTTAAAGCGGCACGAGACGGGAATTTCTTATTACGATCCATATCTTTATCGATATACAGAAAGATTAGTTTGTCACAAAACGCGCACGTGTTGCTCAATTTTTGCGACAAGGCAGAATTTTGTCTATAAAATCAAGTATATATTTTCATTTCGAATAAAATTATTTTGACAAACCAATTCAAATATCATTCGATATTGTGAACGAAAGAAATTTGGAGAAATATGTCAATCTTATAGTAGAACACAATAATGATAACTATATACTTAAGCTTGCATTCTTCGTTTAGTCTTATCAAAATCTGGGACTAACTGTATTTTTTATCGCGACGTACATCGGAAACGCAAAAGATATCATCTTAGAGATATATTCGTGGAGAGTTCAATGGTCACTGTGTTGCGACAATGTTAACTTTATTAGGAGATTTACAGCTATTGCATCATTAAGTGCATATGAGATAAAGCTAATCTATAGAAGCACATTTAACGACGAACGATAAAAGCTGGATCTGTTCTTTTAGCGAATACATATGCATGCATTTCTTTATCTTTAAAGCTATGCATTTTAATTCTTTCATTAATATAGCAAAATTATTTTTTTTCAGAGATACAAAAAATAGAATCAATTCCTCCATCTATTCTTCCGATCAAAAAAAAATCGCTCTTTTCGTTGCAAAATATATTTGATTTTCGCGAAGCACGTGTGTGACGAGAAGAATGAAAATAGAATGATACTCGGGGCCAATGAGAAAATTTCTGTGTGCTTGGAGTGGTGGCGGCCGCACGTGGGAAGAGCGAGCGAGGGAAAGAGCGAGAAAGACACCGATATCGCTTCACTTAGCTATTTCATTACCTTCACTCGATCCTTGGCCGCAGTGCAACACGGAGCCGCGACCAAGTTTCGTCGTCGAGAGCCTCGTCGTGGGTGATACCGATCGGCGCGATCCTCGCGCGCACGCGGACGGATGGATCGCGCGTTGCATAATAACAAGACCGATCCGAATCTGAGTCTCTCGCTTGAAGGCTGATGAAGAGTAACGATCGCGGACAATAAGACCGAGAACGAGATCCTGTACTTGCATTTGCAAACTGTGCTCGATCCAACATCATATGCTCGTCGCTCTTCAGGTACGTTCTTCAAGCTAACTTTTATTTTTCTAGTACAAGGTGTGCCGTGAATCACTGATTTACATACGGCAGATTCCTCACGTCATTTGGAGCCGATTTTTCCTCAGCAAAAATGTCGGGCCGATCATGATTTTCAAGTTATAAGTGATTGAAAATGAAGGATTTGCACGAACTAACTATAAAAGTCTTGTTGGAAACAGAATATTCATAAAATCACATTATTTAGTTCATTTCAGGTAGGGAACGCGCACTTATATTTTTGTAATACAGGGTACCCAGTGAATCACTGATGTACAGTAGATTCCTGGGGTAATTCGGAGACGATTTTTCCTCGCAGCAAAAGTGTCGAGACATCAATAATTTTTGAGTTATAAACGATTGAAAATAAAGGCTTTCTCGCAAACTAACAATAAGTCTTATGGAAACAAAGTATTAACAAAATCACATATTTCAATTAATTTTAGGGAGAGTTTACTTTAATAGAATTTTAATTTAAGGCTTATAGTTACAAAGATATATATGATGGCAAAAATTGAGAACATGTAAAATGTGACATTTTCGCTGAGAAAAAATCGGCCATCCTGTATATGACAGTGTTCTATTTTATTATTTTATTCTTATTTAAATTATTTATTATTATGTTATTAATCAAGTTGGCACACTGAGAAAAGCTATTTAATTTCAAATAAATGTGTATTTCAATAGTGCCATTAACACTATTTGTTTGAAACAGATAAATATTTATCTGTTTCGAAAAAGGATTTCTTATATCAAATTAAATATATTTATTCACGGCAAATCAATATTATTAGTTTCATACAAATGGTGTTAATGGCACTATTGAAATACACATTATTTGAAATTAAATAGCTTTTCTCAATGTGCCAACTTGATTAATAACATAATAATAAATAATTTAAATAAGAATAAAATATTGAAATAAATATTTATTTGAAATTAATAACTTTATTTCAGTGCAACATATCCCTTTTTAATATGAAATTCGATTCTATATAAATAAGGAACGGGAGCACTCTTGATTAATTCGTTATAGTAATTTTGGGCTTTAATCGAGATTTATTTGCGGATATCTTCTTGTGCAAATTGATCAAGCGCTCAACAGTCGCATTTATGTCACGAATTTTGCGACAGCAGTTTCACGAAGTAATCAATTTTTCAACAGCATGTAGAATATATAAAGAAGATTTATCGCTCACAATATGACGTGTCGATGTCGAAGCGTGGATATTCAAGTTTTATCGTCGCGCTCATAAAGATGACTAAAATTTGTATCGTGATAGGTGATTTATATATAGTAGAACAGTTTCGGATTCGCTAGAATGTAAGAGAAACTAGCCGGAAAAATCTAAAGGCGGATTGCAAAATATGTTATTAACTGAAATTTGTCTTGTTGCAAAAGTACGATGGCATACATTACGGAATAATATATTTGTCATGGAAATTTCAAACGAAGAAAGAGAATCACATGACGATTTGAACGTCACATGAGAGGAGAGGTTGAGGCGTTTAGTCGATATGCATTTATACATGGATGCTTCGCAATCGTCAATTTGCGTTAGATTAAACCGCTCGACATCCGCCAATAATCTTCTAATGGAACTTAATTGCTTTGGCGTTGCGAAACGCTATTGTAATCGCGAACGAGAAGAGCGACCGCAAAGTTGTAATCAAAACGAGCTCGTTAAACGTCACTCCCAATGTGTATATATCGCCTGCGTAAATTTGCGATAGATATTATATTTTACGATACGTTTATCGTTATTTCACTTTTTCTCCCTCTCGATCATTTTCAACAAATTTCCACGCTCGATTAACGCAAGGAAAATAATTAGAAATCACAATTCCGTAAAAAAATTCGTGTTTTCTTGTTCAAAATCCCCGTTAAAATTTTTTGCTGTTGGGTTAATTGAACTTAAATGTTAAATTATTAAAACAACTGAAAAGATGTAAAATTAACACAATATGCATTTATTTTTAATTTTTCACAATAAATATGCTCTGCAGTGACAAGATTTATCTGTTAAAATTTACAGGAAGAAGTATTGATTTTCTATTTTATAAGTGGGGATGATAAAATCTAAAATTAACATATTTTTAGTTAATTTTTACATTAAAACTGTTACTTTTACACAAAATGTATTTTAAATTATTCCAAGTTTTGCATTTATTTTGTGTTAAAATATTAACATAATATTTGCGTCATATTATGTTAAATTAACATAAAAAATTCTGTGGAAAAAAGGCAAATCAGTTGCGTCGATCAATTATGCCGCGATATCAATTAACAATCATGACAATCGCTTCGCACGATTTTCTCTCCGTTAGATCGAGGAGCATCGCATTTCGTTTTCATTTTCGATAGAATAGAGCGCGGGATGACTTTTCGATTCGCGCGCGCGAGTAAAAAGTGGGCAGTTACGTAAAGGGTCAATTAAGCGCACTGTTGCTTCGTTTCGCGTCCGCTGTTGGGATAATCATGATCGATCTATCAAAGCGACTGCGACCACGTTTTATTCAACGTGGAGATCCTGTTCCCTTCCTCTCCGGAACGAGAAAAGGCGCGGCGCTCTGATTGCAGTTCTTTTTGTTCCCTTTTTTAACAGCAAACGACACGTAACACTTTTTATATTTTAATATTATATTTCTTGCGGCAAAAGAGAACCGACGTATATAATAATTGTCACCTTCCTCATATATTCGTCGTGCACGAGGGAGTATCCTAGTCAGTGTTGTGCATAGATGATTTTGAAATTAGCTAGATAAAAATGAGATAAAAATATGTAAATTTATCTTAGATAAGATGAAGATGATTTTTAAATATATCTGGACGAAAGATAAAATTATATGGCGATTCATCTAAAAAATTTTCTATAGTTAATAATTTGTAAACCTGCTCATATAAATATTATATAATATATAATATTATATAAAAAATGCAGATATAGATAATAGATATTTTTCTTATCTATACAAAGATAAGATGACGGCAAAGTTTCATCTATATAATTTTCTTGAGATAATAACAAATACTGATTCTTCCTCCTCGCCTTAGGATGTCATAATGCCTGTCCGAATAAGAGCAGGAGGAAACAACGTCGACGTTGTTTCTTTTTAGCTCGAAGGATCGGCGAATGATTAATCTAAATGAGAACGCATAACTTGGGCATACATATAAAGGTTCCTCTTTCGAAGTCGCTAAAGGACACTCTCGAATAACAAGGCCTGAGGCGCAGCCTCCGGGCCTTGACCACAAGAAGACTCTCACTTTTCATTCAAGTGTGAATTTAATTGCTGCATCTCCGCCTTTCTCGGTGAACGATAACGTACGATCGAGAGATTCTCGCCGAAGATATTTACGTAAGAATGTAAGCAAGTGGCCGTAAGTGTGGCGTGGGAGTCGACCAGTTCGCATGCAACCGGCAACGTTTCCTCGACTTTCTAAGTTCCGATATGGCGCGATAGCTCACTACAGTTGACCACATCGCCAGCTTGTTTTTTTCGTTATCCACGTGCGCGATTCGGTTCCGCGATCGAAAGCACCTTCTTCGAGGAATCCGGTAACCGCAGTGTTGTGCTTGGATGATTTTTAAATTAGCTAGATAAAGATGAGATTTTGTTTTGAATATATATCTAGATAAAAGATAAAATTGTATGGCGATTCATCTGGATAACTTATTCCAGGTAATATTATTTTCAAGACCGATGATTTTAAAATTAGCCAGATAAAGATGAGGTGAAAATATATGAATTCATCTTAGAAGATATATAAATATATCTAGCTAATGTAAACACAGTTATAATAAATTTAATTATAAATTATAAAATTAAATTATAAACAAATTTAATTATAAATTATAAAAGAATATAAGAGAATATATTCTTATACTTTTATTTTTAAGTTTTTATCGTCTAATGCTTAAGTTCTACTAATTAAGTATTTTTATGTGCTACTCTGTGAAGATAATCTTTTTTCATCTAAGATTCAAATATATAGATAATACACGGAGAGAATTTTCTCTTAGAATTTACCCTCAAAATTATAGTAATCGTAGGACAATATTGAAAGAATTTTATATAAGAGCTTCTCTGATTAAATATTTGCCACAATAAAAAATTACATAGTAAAATTAATCGAACATATTGTATTTTATATATCGTATTGTGGTAGATATTAATATTTTTTATTGTGGCAAATATATTAATTAAGAGAAACTCTTACAAAATTCAAATTTACATATTTTTATTATCTATATAAAAATAAGATGACGTTAAAATTTCGTCTAGATAATCATCTAAATAATTTTCTTTCGATAATAGCAAACACTGACAGTAGCCGCGTATTGTCTCGAATATTTCTCGAATATCGGTCCATTGTCCGGGCATCCTCTCTCTTGCGTCGTTGTAAAAATATTTATCTCACAAGAGCCGTATTTATATCGATCTAGGGGAAAGCGAACAACACAATGACGCGAAGGCACGAAAGAAAAAAAGGAAGAAAAAAAACTTTCTTTCTCGTTTAGTCGACGTCACGCGCGCGTGCGCGATTACGAATACTAATTAATCTAGTGAAATCGGCACGCGTCATCGATTCCTTTATTTAACGAGCGTGAACTCCTTCGATTTATCGTAGACATAATATATACGCGATATTGCGATTACGGACATAATAAATTTTCCATCATGTGAGCAGAACAATACGCCGGTTAATTAAAAATGTGCCGGTATAACATCCAATACACGCGAGTCTCGAGGTGTTTTTGATGTGAAATTTAATGATTACTTTCATAATAATAAGTATCTAGCGAGAGATAGATATAGCGTGGCGCGTGTAATAGCGATGTTAATTTGCAAAGAACGTTTGCGAGATGACGAGAGAAGGAGAAAAAGAGAGGAGATAGGAATTTTTGCTTCCTCGCGTGATACTTCTCAAGCGTGTAAATATATAGCTTATCTCCGCGAAATCGATCGGACTTATTAAA